TTTCTTCCTCAGAGAGCTTGGGGTGCAGAGGCATGTGCTTCCAATATAATTTGTAAAAACAAAATAATTGGTCTCAGCTCCAAGCCACATTATTCTAAAATCCTCATCAGGTGACGCCGATGATGGTAGGACGAGAGAATATCACACCGCCTAGAAGGAGCATATTCAGCCTCAGTTTTTGCCCCCCCCCCCCTCCTGTGTCCCCCATGGGGATAGAAGCCACCCCTCCCGAGAACTGGGCATTTCTGGAGTTAGCTCTTTCGGTGAGTGGCTGGCTGACGAGGCTTGGACTATACCTGATTGTAACACTGGTATTGCCAAGTAAAGCAATCTTGGAAGTGATGCTAAAAAATGGATTCTGCGAGGTTATTGTGATGTTGAACAGCCGAGACTCAAAATTATGACTTGTACGAGGGCTCTTGTATTCTACTTGGTTGATACTTTCATGCCGACTTACACAGTTCCTCCGTCATTGCATAGTGATGGCACTTATTTACTAACTTTGTTATTTTGCATAAGTTTAGAAATTAAAAATGGTTTCTTTAAGCGGTCTTGCTGTTCGTTGAATACAGGAACTTGACACTGGAATGCAGGCTGTAGGTCAAATCTTTTCTAATTCTCGTATAGAGAATTGATATTTCACGCAAACATACCGGGTAGGCTTCTATTCAAAGAGCAACAGTCTTGTGCAAAAGCATCCTTTTATATGTGCCCACCAGCTTCACCAACATACCAGTCACAGCAACGAGACAGATGTGGTATTATTGTACATGTTTTTTTGTTCCTATTTAGTACTATATAGTAGTAGCATCAATTAGGATATTGGGGCCTCAGTGGCAGTGTCCATGTAAACTCTCTCCTTCCTACTCATCCGCAGACCTTTATATCATGTGTACTTGGAGGACGCTATATTGAACAACCCCTCCTTTTTTTACCTTCAACCTGACCCTTTTTTGCCCCTTTGCTCAAAATCTCACACACTTATTCGTACGCTTCAAATCCAACAACCAGCAAGCCTGCTGCTTAGTATACACGCTTGAAAGGAGGAACAGGCTTGCACTCATTCTCGTCCAGGGTGGTGGAAATGACCTTGCGGTATGTCAAGTCTACCTTGCCGTGGGGCTGCTTCTGGAAGCTGAGAGTGTGCTTCATCCAGTTCTGGTCATCACGGTCAGGGAAGTCCTCGCGGGCGTGAGCACCACGGGACTCCTTTCGGGCAGCGGCGGAAGTGGCGGTTTGAACACTATGGTATCTCATGGTCAGTCATCGTTTTCATTACATCCTGCTGGTGTCTGAATTCAATGTTGGGTACTTACGCGCATGTCAACAAGTTTCGCAGCTCAAGAGTCTCAACAAGATCAGAGTTCCAGATCATGCTGCGGTCCTTGATACCAACCTGGGAGAAGGTCTGGTCGACCTCGGTCATCCTGCGGACACCCTCGTCCAAGCTCTCCTGGGTTCGGAAAACGCTGACCTCGGTCTGCATGGTCTTCTGCATGGCCAGGCGGATCTCAGCGGTGCTCTTGGGGCCGTCAGAGGTTCGGACTTGGTCCAGGACCTCAATGTGGTCAGCACCAGCGTCGGCAGCCAGAGGCTTCAGCTTATCGCCGGGCTTGAAGTTGTCGCGGATGGTGTGGGCAACGGCACGGCCGAAGACGACCAGATCCAGCAGAGAGTTGGCGCCCAGTCGGTTAGCACCGTGAACAGACACTGAAGCAGCCTCACCACAAGCGAACAGACCAGGGACAATCTTGTCCTGGCCGCTCTCATCAATGGTAAGAACCTCGCCAGTGTAGCGGGTAGGAATACCACCCATGTTGTAGTGGACAGTGGGCAGAACAGGGATGGGCTGCTTGGTGACATCGACACCAGCAAAGATACCAGCGGTCTCAGAGATACCGGGAAGTCGCTCGGCGAGGATTTCCGCGGGCAGATGGCTGAGCTGCAGGAAGATGTGGTCCTTCTCAGCACCGACACCGCGGCCCTCGCGAATCTCCATGGTCATTGATCGGGAGACGACGTCTCGGGAGGCAAGATCTTTGGCAGTGGGGGCATATCGCTCCATGAAACGCTCACCCTCGCCGTTGAGCAAGTAACCACCCTCACCACGAGCACCCTCGGTGATCAGGCAGCCAGCGCCATAGATACCAGTGGGGTGGAACTGAACAAACTCCAGATCTTGGTTAGGCAGACCAGCTCGGGCAACCATGGCCATGCCGTCACCGGTACAGGTGTGGGCAGATGTGCAGCTGAAGTAAGCACGTCCGTAGCCACCGGTGGCCAGAACGGTGTTGTTAGCAAGGAATCGGTGCAGAGTGCCGTCCTCCTGGTTGTAGGCAAGGACACCACGGCACTCGCCGTCCTGCATGATCAGGTCAATGGCGAAGTACTCGATGAAGTAGTTGGCGTTGTATCGGAGAGACTGGCCGTAGAGGGTGTGCAGAAGAGCGTGTCCGGTTCGGTCAGCGGCGGCACAGCATCGGTACGCCTGACCACCCTTGCCGAACTTTTGGGATTGACCACCAAAAGCTCGCTGGTAGCTACATAATAGAAGATGCACGTTTAGTAAATGCCGTCTTCAACACCACAAGCAATTCTCGTTGTAAAGAAAACTCACATCTTTCCATCCTCAGTTCGGGAGAAGGGGCAGCCATAGTGTTCAAGCTCAATGATGGAGGCAGGAGCTTCACGGGTCATGTAGTGGATAGCGTCTTGGTCACCCAGCCAGTCGGAACCCTTGACGGTGTCGTACATGTGCCATCTCCAGTCATCCTCGTGCATGTTTCCAAGAGCAGCGTTGATACCACCTTGGGCAGCTACCGTGTGAGATCGTGTGGGGAAGAGCTTAGAAATACAGGCAGTCTTGAAGCCAGCTTCGGCGAGACCCATTGTTGATCTCAAACCAGCTCCTCCAGCTCCCACAACGATTGCGTCGTACTCATGGTCCTAAAAGTGATGTTTCATGGTCAATTGACAAGATCTTTTGGCTCGGCCCGCTCGCCCGGAAGAGCTCTCCACCGAGGGGAAGACGACGTACAATGACGGGGTATTTGGAGCTGACAAAGGGAGAAGCTTCCTTTGCTCTGAGCGGTCCGTTTGCGATGACACGAGCTATATTGGAGAAGATCCATTAGCACACCAATTGTTCTTGTCTTTTCTTCCGCCCTCAATCTTCGATTCCTGGGTTGGTTCCGATCGTAAATTGCACATCGCGGGTCTCGGAATTGCTTGGGCCTACCTGCTGGTCGAGTAGAAGAGAAGTTCCTGAGCTGGGTCCGCGCCAGCCGGGAGATCTATAGCATTCCTAACATTAGCAAGCTGTACAAGAATAGAAAAGGACAGATCAAGAGTCTTTGCTGCAACACAAGCTATGACCTCCGCGGCGATCCGTTTTGCGCGCAGGGCAATGCCGAGTTTGCAATTTTTTCCCCGTGGTTCAATTCACGTACCGAAGAGCCAGAGGCCAACTTCCTCAATGCCATAGAGGACGCCATCGTGAGCGAAGCAAGAGATCCGGGGTCACCAGGCTGCGTCGGCGCAAAAAATTGAAGCAGCAATGGCCTTCAACTGTAGCAGCAAGGTTGGAGATTCGGTAGCATATGTCACGTTTTCGTAGATGGGGTCTTTCGGAAGCGCATGTGTCGGTCCTCGGCTATCTGGGCCAATGGGAGGTTGTGTATTAGTAGTGGACTCGGGATTAGTCAGGATGCTGGCGAACTCTTGACAGCGGATTCAGCTGTGGTTAACACCTTTACCTTGGTAGATCCACTAAAATGTCTTTTGAAAGCAAGAATGATGATTCTTTCTTTATAAAGCGTTGTAAAGGTAGATCTTCTGAATATTTGCCTATATGTGAGAATAAATCAGGTGGCCCTGTCTTTAATTTGTGCCTTTTTTCTGACTTGAAGCCATTTTTTCTTTTCCTTCTCTCTCCTCTCAATCCTCTTACACGGGCAAGAGGGATTTCTATGACGCCTATACATGGGAGAAATTCTGAGGAATATTCTCTAGTAAAAGGAAGAGGGAGAAAGAGATCTCAGGAAAGCCTAGCAGACTTCCTTAATTGCTCTCAGCCTCGTATGCCTTCAATTTACAATGCCATCAATAAATAATACTGATGCCATAAAAATATCGTCAACGAATCTTTAATTCCTGAGAAGAAGCACGCAGACGCCGAGGAAGCTGCCCTTAAATCAGCCACCAATATATACAGTCCGAGTATATATTGATGGAGCTGCATGCCTAAGAAGCAGCACACAGAAGCCAAAGATGCTCTGCTTCCTTTACCCAGATGTCCATATCTACGGCTCAAACAGACCCAAATTATCTACTCACATTGCAGAATCTGCTATAACACACTTCACATGCATTTACCACATTCATCAATGCATCTTATGGTATTGAGAATTAGGTAGTATCGCATCTCATCATCACTGGCTGCGTATAGAGAAATCCCTATTGCTCGGCCATTAAGTCTAAATTTGGCAGATTTCTTCCTGTAATGTTGCATAACGCTGCATGTAGTAAAAAGACTCCTCATTCATCAAGGTCTACAGGCCCGCGCCTCCTGGATTTGAGTCAAAATCACCACAGCCATGGGCAGAAGCTGACTGCCCTTGCAGTAATAGGAAGGCTGACTCCATTACGCTGCTCGATGACTCTTCATAATTTTACTTTGATGCGCCTGGATTGGCCAATTCTCTCTTCTCCGCATTCCCAAGTTACGAAATTGAGCATGAGTGACTCATATTGCTAGTTCCAGGGCAAAATGAGCGCCTTTGTCAGCAGCTTTTTTGCATGAGGCTTTGCCGCTTTGCCACACACAGCCGCGCACCCCACTATAATTCAATGGTTTTCAACGATTCCATCCATCGAAATATCAAGTCGACGACTGCATCGCTTTTGCTGCATCATCACAGCTCGCGCCTCTAATTTTTCTTGTTTGCTTTTCGTCTTTTCATTCTGTCAGAGTCGCTTATACCCTTTTTTTTTTTTTTTTTGCGATAGCGCGAGATTGCCCAGCTTGGATCCCCAAACTCACATACACCTGCTCACTCAGCCTCGTCGTTTCATGCACCAAAGCGATCAGATCATAGACCACGTCCAGGGAAGCTCTCTTCAGAGCTCAGCCGCAACCATGCCGGAAGGCGAAGCCTCACAAGCTCAGAACCCATCCCAAAATGCCTCCAGAGGAGCTCCTCGAGCTCGTAGAGGCAGAGGTCGTGGCGGCAGAGGACGAGGAGGACACCACCACGGTGATCAGGCTCAGGCAGCTCAAGGGCAGCAGACCCCACAACAGGTCAGCTCAGAAAACTCGTCTACGCCCACAGCAAACCCAAACCAGCCCCAGCAAGAATCTGCAGCTTCTGGAAATTCATCAAGATCATCTCGCGGAGGAAGAGGCCGAAGAGGGCCGCGGCAGAGCGAGCGAGGTGGCGCAAGACACAGCGCCCCTCGAGCTCCTCTGCCAGGCCCATCACGGCGATTTGGAGGTCATCTCACAACGGAAGTCGATGACGCAGATGCAGATGCAGATGCAGATGCTCCTTCATTAAGTGCAGAGGCTCCTGAGTTTGTACCGGGCCAGCCGGTATTACCAAGGGCGTAAGTAGCTTGTTTTGTATACCATTTAATTTCTGGTAGCCTTCAGCTGCTGACGACTCTTTAGGCAGCCAAGGAGATCTGAGGCATCTAAGAAGCCTGAGGTTAGACTTCCCAAATCTACGGCTGCAGACCTCGGAACCAGAATCCACGAGGATATCGGCAATAGCAACTATGAATGTGCAGTATGCACAGATGAAGTCCTTCGGAAATCCCACGTGTGGTCTTGCAACGTGTGTTGGACAGTAGTCCACCTCAAATGTGCCAAGAAATGGTATCATAATCAAATGAAGCAAGCTGCTGAGAGGCCACCAACTGAGCCTCAAACGGAGAAATCATGGAGGTGTCCCGGCTGTAACTCCAAATTATCTGATGAGCCAGGCTCCTACCACTGCTGGTGTGGAAAGGATATCAATCCAAGGCCCTCTAGCACCTCACTACCTCCACACTCTTGCGGACAGACATGCTCAAAACCAAGGGGAACATGTCCTCACCCCTGTGGTCTCCAATGCCACGCTGGCCCTTGTCCGCCGTGTACCCTTGTCGGACCTACACAGTCTTGCTATTGTGGAAAGAATACCTCCCAGAAATTGTGCAGAGAGACCGATTACGAAAATGGCTGGAGCTGCCAAGAGATTTGCGGCGACCTTTTGCCCTGCGGAGAGCACTTTTGTCCGAACCCTTGTCACACCGGACTTTGTGGAGATTGTGACCTGAAGGTGGACGCAAAGTGCTACTGCGGGCGTGTTGAGAAGAAAGTGCCTTGTTTCGAGAGACAAGAGATACAGTCCTCTTATGATGTTAAAGATGGCTCATGGTTCGACGGCTCATTCAGCTGCCAGACACCTTGCGACAGGAAATTTGACTGCGGCACTCACAGCTGCTCTGAAACCTGCCACCCCCAAAATGAACAACCAGCTCATTGCCCTTACTCTCCCGATTCTGTTACGCATTGTCCATGCGGCAAAACACCACTTGGTGAACTCTTGCAGGACCCAAGGCAAACCTGCGAGGACCCCGTACCCCATTGTGAGAGGGTTTGCGACAAGCTTCTTCCTTGTGGCCACACTTGTAAAGCTAAATGTCATACCGGCGATTGCGGATTCTGTATGGAAGCGATTGAGATTTCGTGTCGATGTGGGAGAACCTCGTCTGCATCCGTTTGCCACCAGGGAGACGTCCAACCCCCGTGGTGCATGAGAACATGCCAAGCTACTCTGAGCTGTGGCCGCCACAAGTGTGGTGAGCGCTGCTGCCCAGGAGAGAAGAAGGCTGCAGAGAGGCAGGCAGCATCCAAGAAGAAAAACCGACAGCCTGGTGATTCTGTCGTTGAGGCTGAGCATATCTGCATACGGACATGTGGGCGACCGCTGAAATGCGGTAGCCACGACTGCCAGCAGATATGCCACAGAGGGCCATGCGCAAGCTGCCCTGAAGCCATATTCCATGAAATCAGCTGCAATTGTGGCCGGACAGTGCTCCAGCCGCCGCAGCCATGTGGGACTCACGCCCCAGAGTGCCGGTTTAACTGCCCAAGACGACCAGCTTGTGGGCACCCGCCTGTTGAACACAACTGCCATATGGACGATATCTCTTGTCCCAAATGTCCGTTCTTGGTGGACAAGTGGTGTGCTTGCGGCAAGGAAAAGCTGAAAAGCCAGCCTTGTCACCTTCAAGCGGCTCACTGTGGACGACCTTGCGGAAAGACTTTGAAGTGCGGGTACGTGCTATTTTCCGCCCTTGATTCTCTTCTCCACGAAGTGAAATAACCGATGTATACTGACTTGATATCTCTAGGTTACACAAGTGTCGAAAGCTTTGCCACAGGCCAGGAGAGTGTGAAGATAGTGCAAGTTCTAGTCAAACTTGTGGCCAAGTGTGTGGCAAGACGAAGCTATTCTGCGATCATGCTTGCCAGAATGCTTGCCACGGCCAAACTTGTAAGTCCAAGTCCAAAACGTCAGTTGTAATTGTATTGTGAAAAGCTCCTAACAGAATCCTGCAGCTTGCAACGAATCATCTCCTTGTACCGCCAAGACCGTCATCTCTTGCCCCTGCGGCCACCGTCACCAGGAAGTGAAGTGCCTTGCTAGCAGTTCTAACCCCACGCCATCTCGGCCTGAGCTCAAATGTGACGATGAATGTCTCCGCCTAGAACGAAACAAGCGTCTTGCTGCAGCTCTCAACATTGATCCCACATCTCATACAAACAACCATGTCCCGTATTCGGACACCACTCTTCGGCTCTTTAAGGAGAATTTGGCATGGGCGGAGACTCAGGAGCGCGAATTCCGTGTCTTCTCCAAGAGCCCCAGCGAAGCTCGGTTGAGATACAAACCGATGCCTAATCACCAACGACAGTTCCTACATGTCTTGGCGGAAGACTACGGCCTAGAGAGCAAAAGTGAGGATATCGAACCCTATCGTTACGTTGTCGTCTGGAAGGGCTCCAAGTTCGTTTCGGCCCCAACCAAGACCCTCGCGCAGTGCGTCAAGATCCGAGAGACTCAAGCGGCAGAAGCGGCCGCCACAGCAGCCGCCAACTCGAGAGCCCCTACTCCACCACCCGCCATCATAACCGAGCCGTTCAATGCTTTCCTCATCACATCTCCTCGATTCGGACTCACCATCGAAGACGTCGAATCCGCCCTCAAAGCCGACCTAGCAAGCCAGTCGTCAGCCTTCAACTTCACCACAACCTTCCTGCCCTCAGACGAGATCCTCATCCGCGCCTCGGCGCACTACTCCTCCTTCCTGACGCCCACCGCCGTCGAGCAGGCCCTTCAGACCATGAAGCCCCGCCTCGACAGCACCATCAAGCGCCTCGACGTCGCGGGCAACATCCTGCTCTGCCACGTCGACGCCAACGAGCAAATCTCCCGCAGGGAAGACATCAGCAGGAACGACGCCTCCGGGTGGAGCGCCGTCGCCGGCCGCGCCGCGGCCAAGAGGGACGACGCGAAGACGGAGACGCCTGCGGCCTCTGCGAGCGGCAGCTCTGGAAAACGACTGCTGCTCGGGCTGAAGAAGAAGAAGGTGGAGATGAAGAGGGAGAAGTCCTGGACGGAGCAGCTTGGTGGAGATGTCGAGTGCTGAAGCTGAGAATGAAGCTGAAATTAATTTTGCTACGACTTTGCTTTTTTATTGTTACGTTTGTTCTACAGCAGGATATATGCTCATAGATGGGATGATGGGATTATGCATCACCCATCATTGTGACAATGTTGACGCGGTATCAGCATTAGAATCTGATCAAGAGACAACCAGTCTATTGGGTACTACAGCTTCCAAAAATTATCATTAGAAAACTAAGAAAAAAAAATCACTGGAAAAAATAATCAAATAGAATTAAAAAAAAAAATCATTAAAATTATGTATTAACCTTCTCTCATACTCCATATATCCCCATCTATAAAAGAACACCTCTCCAGTGCAAATGCATCACCATCTCCCCCGTTCTATAAGTTTTTTTTTTTTTTCCAGTGTGCGGTCGTATCATACACAGAAATGTGCTTTATATGCTAGGTACCTACCTTGTTTATGCAAACATTAAAAATGATAAAAAGACAAAAGGGGAAAAAAAAAAAGAGAGAGAATAGAAAATGATAGGGAGCCAAGGTAAACTCGCCCAATAGAACTAATCGCCTGCAGCACGAGTTCATCTGAAAAAGCGCGTAAAAGGGCGTGCCATTATAGAGACGCCCGTCACCAGTGGAGCAGATAAAGCACACACGCACCGGAAAAAGAAAAAAAAAACCACCAGAAAAAAATAATTTGTGTGATGAGTAGCCGGATAGAAAAAAAAATTCGTTGCACATCGAATTATGTCCACTCTACTTCTTCTCACCGGAAGAAGGCGTTCAAAAAAACATATAAAAAAAGTATGCAGGGTATATGTATATCACGCGACGCATCTCCCCCTCCACACGCTCTCCAATATTATCGTCACATGGGCCATAGGAACCACCTTCAATCCCACGCTTGGCCCGTCTTTCCTGAGGCCGCCCTCCCTTCTATCTAGTTAGCACCTCTCTATTCAATGAAATTTACGGCCCGTCGATGGGGTCAGCATGCAAAATGAAAATCAAACGTTCAAGGGCCCTTGTATAGAGCTCCCCTTGATGCAATATAAATCGCCACGCTCCACAGGGATATGCCTGCTCTGTATCAGACCAGCCCAGCGAGGAACAGTCCTATAACTGGCTTTTGGCTTCCGTGACGGGTGCATCATTTATGGAGTCGGCTATGAAATCTGAGATGGCTTCGAAGTAGCCCTCCTCTAGCACGCTCGAGTTGTGATCGCCACCCGGGAAGGTCTTCCACGTCTTGCTGAAAGAGGTGGAGACATTGAAAAGCTGGGTCATATGACTGGGTCTGCAGTTGTATTCCTCTTTGGTTAGCTTTGATATCAGATATCAGAGAGAAGAGGGTAGTGTAAAGGTATAACTGAGTGTTGGTGTGGGATCGATCAGGGTTTGATAAAAAGAGTTTTTAATCAGGGCCACGAATGGCTCAGATTTTGTGGGTGATGCAATTTGTTCATCATTCTGATCCCGGGAAAAGGTAAAATGTAAAGGATATGGCTGTAGTAAAAACTTACGGAACAATCTCATCTTGTAGACCGCTAAGGAACAAGATGGGAACCTTGGTGATGGACGGCAAGGTTGCCTCGCTGGGCCAGACCTGGTGGCACAGCAGTGTGAAGTATTTGGCAGGTGGAAGAACGGAAGGAATGAGCTTGCGCATGGAGAGAAAAGTATTTTCCAAGATGAGGCCCACAATGTCGCCCCGTTCTTGGTTCTTGGCCACTAGCTTGATGCTGACGGCTCCACCGAGACTCTGGCCGTAAACAATGAACCGGTGATGCCTCGTTTCCGCTCGCTCGCGCAGGTAGTTGAGTCCGGTCTGGGCATCGATCCCCAGGCCCGACTCGTCTGGTTCGCCGGTGGATGCGCCGTAGCCTCGATACTCCAGCATAAAGACGTTGCAGCCAATCATGTTGATGAGGACGCGGGCGATGGGCAGGCGGTGACCGATATTGCCTGCATTGCCGTGGAACATGATGATTGTCATGTCCGAGTTCTTGCCGCCACGGGGGCCGCGAATGTAGTAGGCCGACAGCTTCTCGCCATCGTCGGTGGGGATGACCAGCTCTTCAAAGTCTTTGATTCCGAACTGTGTAGGGCGCGGGATGTCGGTTCGTGAGTTTGTCGGCATATGAGAGGGATAGATGAGCGCCCTGCAGTCGGTCGCGGTTAGCTTAGCTCGAGCTCGGCTCAGGGTTTGGGTTTGGGACGAAACGACGTCGACGCGATAGGGCCCAGAGTGGGCTGGGGGATTGCAGACTGCGTCTTGGGGGCTGGAAATTGGGACTCGTAAGCTGGACGGCTACGCACTTTTGTTTGAAGTAGAGGAGGGACGTGAGGATAGCCGCAATGCCCTGTGAGTCGAGGTTCGCGGTCAGTGTCTGCCAATGCAAAGTCGAGGCGCTCCTCCTGCACCGTCGCGGGCTTGGCTTACTGTTGAGGCCAGAGCTGGCAGACGCATGTAGCCTGCAGCCGAGGTCAGGAAAGAGGCGGTCTGGCCAAAGTAGCCGTTCATCATGTTGCTGCCGTGGTGGTGATTGTGGTTGTGATTATTCTTGGTTGCGCCGGGAGGGGGTGTGTTTGACTTTGAGGTCATCTTTCCATTCTTGGGAGAAGGTGTAGTCGAGCGGCGGATTGAATATCGCATGTGGTCCCATACCCAAGCCACAGCAATTCAGCCTGATGACACGACAACATGTAGTCGGGGCAAAAAAGAGGGGCCGCTGGTCTGAGCAACAGGCGAGGCGAATTATACTGGATATTCGATTTCAATAAAGGGAGAGGCGTAGGTATTCGTGAATTAATTTTTTTTTCTCTTTCGCGAGACACCGTGGGTTCAGCGCCTGGGTCCGTAATTCTTCCTTGATCCTTGTTCTGATTGATCCGTTTGCGCAAAAGTTTGTGTCAGGGGTGTCGGCCAGGAAGAGGAAAAAAAAAAAAACCAAGAGTCGTCAAAAGATTGGAAAATGCAACACAGCAAAACAAGATAAAAATTATAAAATTAAACGACAGGTCAGCTTAGTCGACGTGGAGCTGCTGGCGGCCGCTGGATGCAGATGCAGATGCAATTGAATTGGACGCCACCGATGCCAGCTGTGCAGATGCAGATGCAGATTGGGTGTGCCGCTGCCTGGAGCAGATAAATGGTCGAATCGTGCGTCGTCCTAAGGCTGCATCGTGTTCCTCAGCGTCCCGTTGGTGGAAGAGAGAAAGTCGGTGGACAAAGGACGAGAAGCGAATTGAAGCAACGAGAGAAGAAGAAGAAGAGAAAAAGGAGCGTGAGGGTGGGTGTGAGAACCCGAGGATTGGTCCGAGGCTTGGAGGGAATGAGGGAGAGAGTGAGGCGATGAAGAGGAAGAGAAGAAGAGAAAACAACTGGAAAAACTCGACGCCAGATCCAATCTAATCCAGGGAGAGGAGAGCACAGGACGGGCCTCGGCGGGTATAACGAGCTCCGTAATAATCTTGCTTGCAATCTGATAGTCGTTAATGAATTGGGTTTAATGGAAATGAGCCTGGCCGAAAATTGGAGTGGAAACGCTCAATCTCCGCGCAGGCGCGAGCTGGTGGCCGGGCTGCCCTGCAGTTAGTTGATGGGCGCGCCGAGCGATTTGCCGTCATTCAAATTTCATTTACTGTCCGGCCTGACGTTGTATGAGGGCCGTTCATATTAATAGTACATGTAGCCACCAGCCTTGTGGGCAGAAGTATTATTAGCCATTGTCTATATGATGCCTTGCCGATCAGAGAAAGGAGTGGTAGAGAGAAGCAGCGGAAGAAGACTCTTGGAAGGCGAGGCAAAAAGGACCTGAGGATCTCGCGGCCCGAAGAGCTAGAGAGCGCTAGATCTGGGGGACCCGGGGCTCTGGACTCACTAAAGCTTCTAGCTGCTGAGAGCTGGAGCTGGAGCTCAGCTACTGTCCGAGAAGCAGGTTTAGTCGCAGCACCAGCGCCATTATACTGGGTCTCGAGGCCATTGTCGCGTGTCTGCCTGGCGCTGGCAACAATTTCTTCTTCACCTGCCAATCAATCGGTCAACAATTGTGATGTGTAGCACACAGAATGACAGCTGTCTGCCGCACTGCATGCTGCATAGCCCTACCGTAGGTGGACATGGATATGGGGCCAGTCGCTACGGATATAGAGACGGACATGGCCAGCCAGCTTTGGATACGTTGATGTGTCCATTGACACGGCCATGATAATGCCCAGATATGGATACCCGTACGGCCGCAGTAGCACTAACACGGCCCTGCAGCCTGGCCGCAACAAAGCTCTTCAGATCAAACGCATCAGACAGTGTGCTGTGCTGTGCGGTGCTGCAATGCAGACGCCTGCATCATGCACTTGGCGACCGGCTGCAGCCTCAGCCTAGCCTCACCTCAGACAAACGGCTGATGTGATGCGATGTGAATGGATTCATGGCCAGCAAACATGCTTCTGTGCTCCGGGTGCAGCAGGCGGTGTCAGCTTTTGCTTGACCGTCTCCCGCTCGAACCTAGCCATGACTCGGACGAAGCAATCAAAACTCATCTTGGGAACGCTGTTTTCTGCACGGCATATGATATGATATCAAATGGACCAGACTACATACAGTGTACTACCGGTGAGACGTGTGTAGCACCGCAGGGTTGCTGCGCGAGGCGCTTTACACGACAACGCCACATACAAATCGTCGATTTCGCAATCTTGATCCAGCACACGACGCACAGCATCCATCTACATCCATATATTCTTCCAATCAAGTGCTAGTGATCTAGCATGTGCCGTAGCCAATGGCTTATCTGATACTCTCCCTATCTTGGATACTGCTGGTATTGTGTACTGTAGCAAGTATCAGGATGCCAGCATCAATCACATTCCACAAGACTTTAATTAGCAAATACTACGAGCAACTACGAGTGCTAGCGGTAATAGCAGCAGCAGTAACATCAGCCGAGGTGTATGTACTAGCTGCAGCTGCATCTCCCGGCATCCCTCCATGATGCCAGGATTCTTTTTCTTCTCAACCGGCTTACGCCTCTGGACCTGCATAGCCGGAGGCAGCGGACAGAGGATTCCTTCCGCATCGAGGAGGTGCCAACCAAGAAGAAGCATTACAAATTTACAAACAAACAGTGCGAGAGAAATGTGACGAAACCCAATAGACAAACGTAGTAAACGTACGATGGGCATTACTCGTACATTGGAAAGTTAGAGGTGAGATGTCAGTAATATCAGTAAGACATGTTATCTTGTGCTTTTTACCGCTCTTATCGATGTTGACATGTCGCAGACCATTTTCACTTTCTCTCAGTCCAACACGGGCCATTGACCTCATTCATCATCTTACATGGCCGAGCTAGGCAGAGGGATTCAGATTTGGCCCAATCCGCGCTGCTCTTCGCCGGGGTCTGAGCTTTGAAACATTGTGACAGCAGATCTGGGGCAGACGCCATTCCTAGCATAGCAGTTCCCAATGGCAAATGTCTCTCGCATCGAGCGGCAGTGTGATAAAAAAATCCAAAATACGAGGCCTACTGCTCTTTGGTATGTAGATACGGCGGCCCGGGTCCGGTAATCACAGGATACAAATGAAGAATTGCTTTTTGTGTATCAAGCACACACTAGATACATGTTAGTAGTTGGTGATGGTGTTAGTGCAGCGCCACCACCGCGAGATGCTCGTAAACCGGCCATCTCATGGCCGCGAGTAAACACCATCCGGCCCTTGGCCCTGAGACACGCATGATGCAGCCATGCATTGCATGCCTCATCCCCTCCCCGAGGGCCAGAAACAAGGCATGCGGTGCAGCGACTTTGGGCCAATGCCGCTGCTAGCACCATGCCCGGAGCATCTCCATCCACCCATCCACCACCCAACTGGCCATCTGCGCATCTAGTCGCCACACGTGCCGCACATCTCATTTTAAATCCTACATATGACCTCTTTTTTTCAATGCAGAATGGAGGTGGGCAGCCGGCAGTGGCGCGAGGAGCGCGTGAGGCGAGATGGCGAGAGAGCCCGGCTCAGATGGATGGATGAATGGGCGCCATCGCGTGCTGCTGTTCCAGACCAATATAGAGATGGGATATTACGACTGAGACACTCTTTGATAAGCCCAAACATCGAAGCAAGCTGCCAACGTGACGGTACTAACAGTAATGCTAGCAATGCTAGCAATGCTAGAAAGGCTGCGTACCTGTGTTAGCACGAGTTGGCACTGCCTGGTATTGCGGCCATTGCTGGTGGTGCTCCAGCTTGTAGCATCACCAACCAGACGCAGCACACGCCTCGTTTTCTTCGTCCCCTCCCGGAACACCACCCGCAGTCCCGCCGTCGCTGCTTAGCACATGAAAGGATAAGGGAACAAGATGCATGCACTACTTTAGCAGCAAACCGGGCTGCATATTCCCTGGGCGCACGTAGCGCTGATCTTGCTGGGCCGGCAAATGGGGTCGACGCAGAGCTTCCCACAGCCTTGAAAGCCCTCTGCTGTTCCCCCCCTTCACGGCGCAATGCAAGATGGGCGACGCGCATCACATCCTCGTCGTGGATTGGGCCGTCCCTGCGTCGACGCAACAGTAGCAAGTGCTGGATGGACGACATGGGCTGCGGTCTCGTCTCTCGTCTCGTCTTGACTTGGCCTCCTGGCGCTGACACGGAGCCGGTTGGGCGTCTCAAGTGGCCAGCCGGATGGGGGCCTGTTAGCTCTTTGGTTTGGGTTGATGCTTCAGATTTTGCTTTTTGCGCTGATGTTGGCGCTCGCAGCATAGGATGGGCCAGTTAGCGGCTGCAGCAACGCCGCCAATAAAGGGGGAGGCATAAGGTTTGCGCTCGAAAGCCAGAATCAAGGGGAAAGGGAGCGGTGACGACGGTGTGTTTTCTCTATACAGCAGCTCGCAGCGCAGCGTGTAAGTGCATGTCTTGACGCAATGTGCTTGACAACTAATTCGGCCCCCATGACTCTGTCGCTGCTAGCCTGGCATGATATCGAAGTTGGGTGTTACAGCTGTATGTAGCGGCACACACACGCAAAGCGACCGCCTTTTTTCTCTACACTTTGGCCGTTTCCCTTGTCGAGTCTTGCCACGCTGTAACAATCGTCGTCATCACCGTCGTTTCGGGCAGCTACAGGAGTCGCAACCTCTGGTGTTGTTCGACTTTCGGTGATGAAATCAACCACCACGTCGACAACCGGCGCACAGAGTCATCCGCCTTGGCCATTCCCTGCCAACCGTTTGCTGCTTGGGCGGCCAGCAGAGCCCCAAAAGTCGCCTTCGCCGTCGGGTTGAGCCGCTACGACGACTCCCGGGCGTGTCTCTGCGCTGCTTAGCTCATGTGACCGCCGTGCAAATCAAGCTCCCGCAGCCAATCGTCGCGCTGCCTCACCCGAGTTTCGAGTGGCAGCGCCGTGGTTGCCGGGGCGTGTGCGTAGCAGCGAGATCTCGACTGGGGCATTTCTGGCTTTTGCTGCTCGCCGTTCACCGCAGCAAGGCAGGATTTTTTTGGCCTTTTTTGTGCTTTTCCATGGCTTTGCAGTTTTTTTTCCCTCCCACACTTGGGACGCAAGGCGCCAATAGACGAGCCCTAAGGCAGTGTCTGGTGCCCAACAGGGATCGGGATGGCCAGCCAGGACAAAGAAATGGAACACCAAAGGAAGAGAGAGGAACAATGTTGCATGTGCAAGGTTTCTCGCCGACGTCGTCGTGCAGCGGCGCAGGCAGGGAGCAAGAAAAAAAAAACAGTAGCTGCAGCAGCTAGCCGCTTGCCTTGCCAGAGGATAAAATCAGACCGCAGACGCTGAATCCAAAGCTGGAGCGTCGCATCCGCCGTGCCATCCCGTGTCTCGCCAACAGACTAAATAAAGCCCAGCAGCCGACTGGCTACCCGTTTGCAGTCAAGTGCTATTTTATCCTTCGCTTCTTGCTTTTTTGCCTTGTTGCTGCTTCATCTCGCAACTCTCCTCATAGCCGTCGAGCTGAAGGTTTGACGCTTCCCCGGCGCTATCAACCACCATCAACCGCCGTCAGGCCCTGGCCGAGTCCCCCTCCACCCCTCTAAATCGCCCCTCCATTCCCCATTGCCCGCCCGCCATTCCCTCCTCCCGTTCGTCGAGGGGCCTATCAGGTAAACTAATTTTTTTTCTCCTTCGTCTCTGCCAATTTTTTTCTTTCCTCGTTTCTTCACACGCCCTCAGATTCTGAGACGCATTCCTCCAACAAGGCGCTCCCTTGCGTCCCCGCGAGCCTTTACGAGACGCCACGAAACACTACGAAGCCGTAGTGGGCTGCATTCTTTTCTTTATTCGCTCCGTGCGTTGCGCCTTTTGCTTTGCTGGGCCAGGAAAAAAAAGAAAGAAAATTCTCACCTACCTGCCCATCTCTCCACAACGACCGGCGCCAACAAAGGCCTGACAGCAGCAGCAACAACAAAAGGGGAAAAAAAAAAAAAATCCAGCTGGAAACGCCCGTCTGCCTGCTTTGACGCTGCCGCAGCCGCTGCACCTCAGCGTCTCCATCCTCTCGCCGTCGAATCGCGACCCCCGTCAAAAAGCAAAACAAAATAAGAGACCGCGGCCACTCACAATCCAGGAACCGGCCAACTCTATCGCCCCGTCCAATCAGTCGCGCCGCCAACATGGTTTCCTTCTCGTGCGAGGTACGCACTAGCGAACTTACATGCTTGTTTATGCCCTCCCGCTTTGTCTAGTCCCTTGTTGTTCTGTCATTCCCTCTTGTGGCGTTGCGCTGGCCCCCTGGTCGTTTCTGCGTGCTCGACACAGCATGCGATGCCTTGATAGCCTGACATCACCTTTGCTTTGCGCACGCCACCCTCCGCGTCCCGCTGTGAGATGCCACCACCACACGCTGCGCCGTACGAGCATTTCGCAACAAGGCGCCGCAGCGCTATTTCGAGCTGCATCCCTCATGCCCCGTTCCGCTGATCCCCTCTGGTCCACTCGGCTGTCTCTGCCAAACTCCCCTCCCCCTCACCCCCTACCCTCCCCTACCCGCAACCGCGCTTCCTATATCCATCCACAGCTCGCATCACCTCGTCTGCATTGCACTAGTCTCTTTCTCAACTCCCGAATCCTCGACCTCGACCTCTTCTCTAACCTTTGTTTACATCTAGGCGTGTGGTGACGTCCTGACCAAGAAGAAACTTGATCCTCATCGCAGTCGTTGTCACGGCGCAACCTTTACCTGTATTGATTGCATGGTATACTTTCCCGGCACCCAGTATCGTTCGCATACAGTAAGTCCTCCACCTGCTTTCGATAAAGCTGTCGCACCCTTGTCTGGCCATGCTCTTCCTGTTTGGCGAGCTAACATTCCGCCAGTCTTGCATGAGCGAAGAGCAGAAATACCAAGGCGCATTATACAAACCAAAGCAGAACAAGCAGCAGCAGCAAAACCAGCAACACTATCAGCAGCAGCAGCCGCAGCATCAACAGAAAAAACAACAGCCCAACATGAACTCACGCCGTTTAGACATGGCCAACACACTGGCCCTGCAGCCCTTTGTCGAAGACGTCGGCGAAGACAAGGAGTACGAGTCGTGGCACGAGTACGAAGTCCGTGACAACCAGTCTCCTCCCCCACGCGCCCCAAGCCCTCCCACTGCAAACTCCTCCGGCGACGAGCACGTCAACGTTTTCGACTTTCTGGACAACTCACAAACCCCAACCGCCTCCAACGTGAGCCGCCGTCGCGAGCGAAAAGCCCCCGATACGTCCGACACTACCTCTCTTGTCCGCTACGAATCCAAGACTGGTGAGCTCCTCGAGCCTACCATGGACCAAGATGAAGAGCCTCTTGTACAATATGGAACAGGCCCTGTGCCCGCCTCTTTCGCCACTCCTCAGACCAAGACTGAGCGACGAAAGCCAAAAGAGGGCGATTTGAACAAGGACAAGAAGCGGAAGCGCTTGCACGTTGACGTCGCTGGCGACCAGATCATGGCAGACGCACCTCCCGTTCTCCACTCTGGCCTCACTGGCGGCCTCAAGAACATGATGCGACCTGACTTCCCACCTTCACCTGATTACTCTGGAGACAACATTGCCGAATCGCCAACAAGCCCGCTCAAGAAGACGAAGCACACCCGACACCACAAGAGCCACCACTCCCACACGGTGAACAACAGCATCTTTGGCATGATTTCTGGCTCTCCGCCAAAGACCAAATCGAGCAAGCACAAGTCGTCCTCCAAGAAGCACTCTCATCGCAAGCACGACAAGAAGGAGCCCAAGCTCATCGAGTACCGACCAAGCTCCAAGGAGGGCAAGCGGGACAGCCTTGACGGACAGATGATTGTCTTCAAGCCCCGCGCCGATGTCTTCCTCAGCTTCGTCAACAAGGGACCAGAGAGCGAGCGCGGCTGCAGCATGAACAAGGCATTGAAGCGATTCCACCGAGAACGCCAGGCTGTTGGTGCCAGCACTCCCAAGGTCAAGGATGAGAAGGAGCTGTGGCGATCACTGAGACTTCGACGCAATGACCGAGGCGAGATTGTTCTCTTTTCTATTTAAACTTTCGACAAACAAGAAGTAAAACGGGAAAAAAGGACACCAAAAAAAAAGGAAAAAAATCAAAAACGTCATTATGACAATAACACCATGACTCGATTCTACTCTATGGAGTGGAATCGACTCCATGTTACATGGATACAGGAGTTTTGCCGAATTATCTTGTTTTCTCTGACAGCGTTTTTACATGCTTGGTCGGAATGGAAATGTACCACTATGTCTTTCTATCTGTCATACTATTCTAAAGGGTTATGGATAGACGGGCAAACTTTTTGGCCTTCCCCCTTGTACCAACATTATCATCATCATTATTATCGACATCATTCCCGCAATCTTCCAGCCGAGCTGGCGCCGTCGTGGAAGCAAATTGTTATGTTTTGCAGATCACGATTTGGCGACTAGCTGTGCTATGGACCGGGAGTTTGTCATCTACTTAATCTTGTGGCATATTTAACTTTTTTTCTTTTTTCTTATCTTGGGATGGAAAATATGGGCATCTGGGAGCGGTAATGACGGAGGCTGAATGATACCATGAAAGAGGAGGCGCTGAAAGGAAAGCTACATCTTCTTCATCTTCTTCTTTTCACCAAACTTTTTTTTTTGTCTTTTTACTTTTTTTTTTTTTCCTTTCTTCTTCTTCATGTACGATGGCATATGGGGTGGACGATTTGGCTGAGAAGCCTAGCAAGGCATGGTTCTATTTTGTCATGGCTTTTTGATGATTTATTTTCCTTTGTCTGATTCTATCTATTTTCCCACAAACACACGTATTACTACTACTACTACTATGTACAGAGTATTACGATTCTAGCATCCAAACATCATCTGATTTGTTTGTTCAATTCAAATAAGAAGTAAAATTAAAAAAAAAAAAACTTGATGGCTCGCTCACATGACGCGTAACGGGAGAATATGCTGCACCATGGCCTCTCTTCTACATAGAGGGCATTCGGGCTTCTCTCTGACCCAATCACCTATGCACTCCCAGCAAAACACATGGCCACATTGCGTAGCCGAGGGATCCTTCATCTCCTCGAGACACAATGTGCATTTTCGTTGCTGGCTCCCCTTTATGTATCCCATGTGCTTTTCGTTTTCGAGGTTGAATCTCGGGACGCCGCTGCTCGTAGGGGTGTTTGTGACTCTGGCGATATCCAGCTTGCTCGCCTGGGGCCCATTGGTGCCCGCGCCGCTGATGAGAAGTTCATTATTGCTCGCGGAGTAGGTGTTGTTGTGGCTCAGCGAGACTTCGACTTCGCCAGAGTGGAACCCAGCTCTCTCGCGCTGAACCGCCGCGGAGGAAAACGTGTCGCGCACGTGGAGGAAGGCCTGCACGCCCATCTGGATGGCGAGCAGGACGCCCAGGAGCTCGTAGCCGCCGCGGTCGGGGCTGTCGGGTACGGTGCGCGTGAAGACGTACCGCAGGGAAAGGAGGCGCTTGGTGAGCTCGTAGTACGTGCCGTTGAAGTAGAAGAGCGCGAGGACGACGGCCTGGAAGGGCGCGGCGGAGGTGATTGACGAGAGGTGCGTGGAGAGGTACTCGCATATGCGCGCCTGGCGGGATTTGGCTTTCCCCTGCTGTCGCAGCGTGGCGAGGCGGCGGTCGACGAGGCGTCGTAGGCGGGCGCGAAGGCCGGGGAGGATGCGGCCGGCGAGGTAGGGCAGGAGGACGGTGCCGGCGATGTAGGCGGCGCGGGTGCGCAGGCCCGGCAAGGCGAGCGAGGAGGCAGCGTCTACCTGGACGAGGTCGCAGTATTCCTCGCCGAGGGTGCGGTTGCCCGGCAGGGTGGTGAGGGCGAAGTAGAGGAGGGCGGCCGAGGTGCGCAGCTCCGGGGCGAGGGAGTGGGCGGAGCGGGCGCCGAAGAGGCGGCGGTAGAGGTCGGTGAGGGAGTTTGCGAGGTGGCCGGTGAAGTAGGCGTCTTTTTGGTGGGAGCGGACGATGTCGGGGGCTGTGGCGAAGGGGTAGGGCGTTGTGGAGGATGGTGATGGTTGTGATGGTGTTGTTGTAGCCATGGCTTATGTAGGATCTGGGTGCCGCGAGTTTGATGTTGCTATTTTTCTGGTGGAAGCTGGGTGATGGTATTTCTGAGAGAAAGAGAGTAAAGTTCGTCAGAGTAGCAGCATTTCGCAGTTTCAAAGCGTTGACGGTGATGGAAGACTGGGATTGGTAATGTTGAGAGATGAAGTTGAAAGCTGGAAAGAGATGTCTTGGGTCTAGTTGGCTTTCGGCTGTGCGGTAGCGCTAAAGCTGGACCTCGGAACGGGGTTTTAGTAGGGACTGGACCCATGTGCTGTTGCGATCGGCTAGCCTAGAATATGCGCCGAAGGAGGTGTGCTGGTGACATGCAACAACAGGATCGATATAAATTCCATGGTAGATGTAGAGAACGCTGATTTTAAACATTTCGGGGACAAATCAAGTCAAATCAAGTCGAATCAAGTCATATCAGTGTCTGAATACTGGTATCTGGGAACGCTTTGCTTTGGGTAGGAATAGAGATGTTACTGTAGACAGAGAATCCACCACCGTTGCTACAGGTTAGAGCATTCGACATTGATATCTACGGATGGCAATTGCAGATGGCAATTGGATAAGTACATCCTCGATAATAAACCTCACACAAGGTACAATGTTTCAAATCATTACACAGCGCATTCAAGTCTCGTATCGACATCCAAATAAGGTTATGGCGCCCATCAACAACGTGTGTAGCTTGTAAGCTGCCTAAATCTTTAGCACCGAAAATGGGGCACGACAGCACTGGAGATTAGATTCACACCACTCAATCACTGTAACACACACTGCCGGTTGCAGCAACCTTTTTCCGCACCTACCCACCGATTAGGGACAGCTTGGTCCTTTGCAGCCTCAGACATCATCTCCTTGCTCGCATTGAATCGACTGTCAATCGACCACCAAGACTCAACGTGCGCAGGAAGAGCACCGCCGTTTATTCTCCCACCTTTCAGGACCCATCACAGAGGATTCCCCTCCATGTCCATTCCTTTCATGGTCCTTTGCAGGTGCAATTGGGTTGACAATTCGCTTCCACCATGGACGGCGATCCTGCTGTTGAGCCTCAGCTTGACAGCTTCAGTCTGACATTTCCTCTGCCATATCGCGTTGGCTTTATAGTCACTCTAGGTTGGTTTCTTGTGTTCCCGTCAATTGAATCTGCTTTCACGTAATGCGCCCATATGCTGACAATCTGTGCTTCCAACCGACAGCTGTATGGGGATGGGGCCTCAACCTCCACTGGCTGCAAGCCTTTCGAATCGACGTTCCCTCCTTGATCCGATATCCTGGACGAAACTCGCCGCAACATATAACACACCATTTATCGACATACCGACTCGCAATAGTTCTATCGGCTCTCTTCTCGCTGTCCATCACGATATTCTGGCTCTGCACTTGGCGCGTGCCGTCCAGGGTCATTGCTTACGACTGGATGCCAATGACATATCTGGTGGCGATAATCGCACTCTTCTTCGTCCCTCTGCGTAACCTACCTACCGGCGGACGAAAGCGCTTCCTGGCGACGCTGCGGCGGGTGAGCATTGGCGGTATTGCAGAGGCCAAAGACGGCAAATTTGGAGACATTCTGCTGGCGGATGTCTTGACGTCGTATGCCAAAGTGTTTGGCGATGTGTTTGTGATGCTGTGCATGTTTTTCAGCGCGGGAGGCTCCTCGACGGACCATCCCAACAGGAGCTGTGGGGGTACACTCATTATTCCCATGCTCATGGCTGTGCCCAGCATCATCCGTTTCAGGCAGTGCGTCATTGAGTACCTGAGAGTTCGACGGGCCCCGTACAAGGAATCCACCGGCTGGGGTGGGCAGCACCTGGCCAACGCTCTCAAGTATTCTACCGCATGTCCCGTCCTCATCACCAGTGCCATGCAAAGGGGGGTTGGGCCGGATATTGACACGGCTTCCTTGCACCGAGCCTGGCTGGTGGCAGTCTTGGTCAACTCGCTCTACTCCTTCTACTGGGATGTTGCCAAAGATTGGGATCTGACACTCTTTTCATCCAGAGAGCGGGTATCAAATCACCATCCATGGGGGCTACGCGATCGGCTTGTCTTCCGCTCAGCTGGCCTATACTATACTGTCATCGGCCTTGATCTGATGCTACGCTGCTCGTGGTCGATGAAGTTGAGTCCACATCTCGACAAATTCAGCGATTATGAGAGTGGCATCTTCTTGATTGAGCTGCTGGAGGTGTTTCGGCGATGGATGTGGATATTCTTCCGTGTCGAGACGGAGTGGATTAGGAATTCCTCCACCGGGCTCGGCGTTGACGATATTTTGCTGGGTGACTACCAGGGAAAGGACGACGATGACGACTAGAAGGCGCAATAAAACTCAACTCTATGGAGTCTCTTCAGCTGGATGAAGCCTATTTTGGGAGACATGTCACTCTGTCCAGGGCAACTTGCGCGCTGGGATGGAAACATTTTTTATAATCAATTTCTATTTATATAGACATACCTTACTTACCTTACATATAATACCTAGTTCTTGTACGTATCATCACTACTAGTTTTACATGGGGTCCAAAAGGGATTGGGGGCGGAGGGTCTGCTCCAAAGCTGCAGGCAAGGCTGGCTAATGAGCAGCTGTCCACGCCACCACGAGGGATTAGAACGGACGATGTGGCCTGGATGATTGGGGAAATAAGAAAAGGTCGGCTAAGCGTTCATGGATCTGTCCATCTTTTTTTTTTCTCCGACCAGGCTGTTGGCCATCGCCCACTTCAACGGCTAGCTTGGAGCGGCCCTACCGCTAAGACAATATATCGACATGACCAAGCACGGCAATGGGCGGCCCACGCGGAGACGAAGAACGATTTCCGACACGAGCAAACGAAATGAGTCGAGTCCGCAGACGCGCCTTAATACTATATGGCGCTCAATGTCCGTCAATTGCCAGCATGAATATGTGTAATTAGCTGCGAAAATCATGGGTTTGAAATAGGCTTGAGCCTGCGGAGCTCGTTTTCTGCACGACTCCGCTTGCAAGGGATAGGTTCATGGCTCGAGGATGATCCTATTTCCAAATCAACAAGCATATATGCCTGTACTCCGTATGTCCGTGACTGCGCACCTGCATCCGCGTCTCATGTGTGCTTCGCATCATGAGACGGACACTTCGGAAGGCAGGACGGCTGTTTGAGAAGTTGCAAGGATCCTCTCTCTTCTCTCTCCACTCGCTTTTCTTCGGCCCCCTCTTTCTGTCCACGCCAGCAAGAAGAACGGCCCCCTCAGGAAGAAGCACCTTGGCACATCTTGGGAGTGAGCAGAACTGGAACCTCCCCGAAAGAGCAGGACAAGATGCTCAGGCGACGTTGCAGTGTCCTCGTTGTAGAGGGGGCCGCAAAGGCCAATGCCCTGCACACCACGACGCCGTTCAAGCCCTAGGCGTCAGCGTGGCAGGTTTCCCGCCGTGCTCCATTCCGGCACCTTGGGTTGAGCTAGTCCACTGACAGACGCTGGCAGTGCTACCAAATGATGCAAGGAGGCATGGCAGAGACGAGAGCTTGCATGGTAATGCATGTATAGTGGCGGCATGCTACAAGTATGTGCCCGTCGCAGCGGTGCGGGCCAAGGATACCATGTGCCGGACAGGGGACCCCGAGCGACGTTGAAAGCGAGATTGCGTTCCAGACCCAAGCACTTCGTATGCTGGGTTGAGCTCGGGGATTACCACCACGCTGCATAAACGGGGGGAAATGGGTTGGGATACCCAGCACTTCGGACGGGATACAGAGCAGTCGGCCGAGGCAGTCCGTCTTTGGTGGGAAAACGAGCTCCAGAGACATGCAGACTGAAGAAACGAGGCTAGAGCAGGGTGGCGGCGATTGAGGTGCCGAAAGGATGTCAGACTGGAATGCCGGATCAGTTATCATGACGCAACGAATCTGCGTTTCGTGTGGGTGCCAGATGGACAGAAGGCTGAGAGAACCAGAGAAGGAAGAGAAGGAGGAGGCAGACGATGTCACATGGGACGACGCTAGGAAACGAAACGAAACCACGCCGGCGCCGCGCATGGGCATGGCTAGGCAGCCTTATCCGGACCGCAGCCCCCCAAGGGTTGTTGCAACTTGGCAAAGGATCAAGGCTCCTGTCCAGCGGGCCACGGGCCGCCTGGGCTTGGGCTGTCAAGTGTCATTAGCCTGGCGGTTTCTTGCCCGTTTTCAATCTATTCCTGCTGCCGTCCTGTTTAGCCTTTTTGTCGTGGACAAGGCCGGCGTGGCTATGGTGTAAACGAGGCTCCTCGTTTTGTCTCCGGGCTTTGCTCATGATTCTCGGGTGCTTGGCTGCGGAGTTTACCGTACACTCTGCCATGGTCACGCATATCATTTGTCTTTGCCAAGCTGCTATAATCCAAATAGAGGAGTGGGCAAGCTGCTGCTCCTCCACCCGGCAGTGATGATCGGCCATGCCGGCTGAGACTGCTTGTACTATTCATGTACCTACAGTATCATCTTACTGCTTGCCTGACTATTCACACCCTCCTATCCACGCCCTGCTGTTCGAGTTTTTATTCTACAACTTTTACGTGGCTGTAGTATATATTGTTGCACCGTACTCCTACTGCTGCGTCGTATGCCGAGCGGTATATGCATGCAGAATATGCAGTACGTAGAGCAAAGCACATGCCTGCTATAACATCTACAAACGGCATGCCTCTTTGGTATGATCTTGAATGCACCATCACAGCGGATTACTGCATCTGACGTTCCTACACACAACCACACGATCTCACGCACGGCCGCTGGATAGCCAGCGATTCTTCAGAGCATTAGCTTGCTGCCTGTGCGTCTCCTCTCGCACTCGCTCTCTTTTAGCTTGAGATCGAAGGGGTTGATAATCCTTGTGGGGGTGGCTCCAAGCACGGGCTCCGTGGTGTGTTTTTTTCTGCTCCATCGCTGTCACTGTCAATTTCATACCCCAGAGGCCGGAATACCCAGTTCCACGTGGGTTCTTTTGGATAGCCTGACCCTGCTGCCTCGCATTGCCTGCGTTGGGGTCCGCCTGTCTTATTATACCAGGTGCGCCCGCTGTTCTGGTTCTCGGATCTCTTCTTTCATTAACACTCTTCAACAGGCCAATTTCTGGTTCGAGCTGGAGAGACAGTTCTCAACCTCACTCAACCACTAGCTCTTGGTCACCAAAGTGTTATTCACAACCGAGAAGATGCTCCACACGCGGTCTGTATCCGACCCGCCGCTGAGCCCGACGACGCTCGGCCCTATGGAGTCGTTTGCCTCGTTGAATCGCCCGACGACGCCTTCACCTGCGGCACCAAACAATGCCCAGGCCTACATGAAGAGGGCTCTTCCGCCTCTGCCTCCTCCTGCGTTCAATCCCGGAGCGATTCCACCGCCTCTCAACATCAGGAAGAGCAAGCCACCATCCCTTCCATTGGCACCAAGCGCGCCGTCGTCTCGCCCAGTATCAAACGAAGCTCCACCACCACGTCGTGAGGTTCGAAGCGTCTCCCCTCTTCCCGCGCCTAGCACCCCTGTGAAGGGCTCCAACCCTCTTCACCTTTCGACCATCTCGAGCAACAACTCCAGCCCGGTGCATACTCTCAAGCCGCGGAAATCCAAAAAGGTTCTGCAGCTTATGGGACTTGACGTTGACGTTATGAATGCTGTTGGTGTTGCTCCTCCGGAACCCAAAAGAGAGCCCGTTGTTAGAAGTAGCCGAAGTCTTGAGCGAGCACCAAATCTGAACGCCACAACTCTGCTACATCTTCCAGAGGAAAGTTTGATACCCGTATTGGAGGATGATGACGGCAGGGATAGCACGTCTAGCAAGAAGAGCTCTTGGGGGCCAGGGTCGCCGCATTCTGCTTCCAGACTGCCGCTGGGCCCTAAACAGTCTGTCCGACGCCGCCGCAGTGCTCGAATCTTTGATCAAGACGATACTGGGCATTTGGTTATTCAAGAAACCTTGATGTCCAACTTGGATCTGAATGACGATGACGATGAAGAATTACTAAGCGAAGAGGACATGACAATGGAAGAGTACCACAAGTTTGCTTCTGAGCTTGCCCACTCGTCTGCGAGAAAGCCTAGCCACGAAGAGTCGCGACCTACCACGGCGACTCAGGGCAGGCGGTCATCCATCTTGAGCTTGGCCCACGGTCGCCTCCGACGGAAGCCAACCAGTGCTTCGGAATCTCGCCATGGGAGACTGGGCAGCAGCAGCTCTGCCGAACATCCATCCCAAGCCCCGGCTCCTGCAGCGCCTGAGGAAGACGCCGTGCCCAAGAGCGGATGGGATAGCGATTCAGACAGTGAGGATGATCGCACAAGCAGAAGCATTTGGCCCAGGGGCCGCTCCTCCAACAACAAGGGGAGAGACTCGCCAGCCAGCATGACGCGCCATGATGATGATGCGCGCGGATCGCGAGGATGGGCCAAGGGAGGTTTGCTGAATGTTGGCAAGAGACGAAAAGACCAGCAGCAAGCACCGCGCGACTTTGGCAGCGTGGACGAGAGAAGCTTTGCGTAGAGCAAGCACACACACACACACACACACACTAAAAGTTTGGCTTTTTTTTTTCTTCTTTTCTCTCTTCTGTGTTTTTTTTTTCCCTTGATGAAATGAAGGCATGATCAACAAATGGGTATGAATCTATGGACAAGCATGGTGGATTATACTGGGGCTCTCTCTCTCTTTTTCTTTCCTTGTTTTTTTGTACACTCTCCCTGTTCTTTGTGTTTCCTCTGTCTGTCTTTTTTTGTTTTTTTTTGTGCATTTACGGAGTTGTTGGACTCGCACTTGGATATCCCCCTCCCCCCCTTGGTTGGCTGGCAATTTGCCTTTCTGATTTTTTATATACACGACCTTATATACCACGGGCTACTACCTATTTTGTATGTCATTTAGAAGATATTGAACAACCACGGCCCTTAATACCGAAACAAATAATATATCTTATGAATTGAATTACTTGGCTTGTACTAAATCTGCAATAATTAGTGTCTTGGCTAACAATGTCGATTACCTACAATCATCCATGCCTCTCTCCGTTTTGAACTCGTGCAGCAGAGTAGACGCTAAGCTTCCTGTCACTAACGAGGCCTAAAATCTTAGCCAGGGGATCGCTCGCGACGGGCCGATAAGGGAGGGTAAAAAAACAAAAAAGAATTTAGAAGGAAGGGATTTGAGAAGAAAAAAAACTCCACTGGTCCCGCTTGAAGACGGGGCGGGCGCACAAAGAGTGCACAACGCCTATTTTTGGTTCGATTAGGGGTGGGCGTGACTGGTAGTTTACGGCAGTTGGGTTTACCAAACGGGCATTTTCGCTGATTTGCATGCGAGTTACGCTGGAGATGGAAGGTTGGGGTGGATTTGGATTGTTTAGAGGATGGATAAAATGCGTTGCTGGAGTGAGGGTGGATGTGTTGGATTGTGTCTTGTGCTGCGCCTTAAATATAGCATCATAGATTTTTTTCTTCTTCTTTGTTTTGCCTTTGTTGTGTAACGTAACAGACAGAAACGAACGAACGCAGCCCATTCTTTGACGAGCTTCTATTCTGGCAGCATGTGTTGCTTTGAGTACAATGGAATGAGGCAAGACTTAGACAGGCATGCATGCGGCGGGGGTTGGCGACGATGAAAGCCGCAGCCAAGGGATGGTGAAAGGTGGTATGTTGGCATGCCTTGGTTTTTTTCATGTAAATTCATCTCTTTCTTGGTTTCAAGTATTATGCATTCTTTTTTCAGTTGGTAGCTGAAATTGTGGTGAAAGATACTGTATTAGTGTATCTGAAGCGTAAAAATGGAGCCAAGCAGCATGTAACTGTAATAAGCGGGTGTGCGAGATATAGCATCCAACTTGGCATTTACAATGCGTAATTTTTTTTGGGTTTATTCTCTTCCATCGCTGGTTCGCCATCGGTTGATCGGCCGACGAGAGAATTGTCTCTTCTATTGCCATTCCCCGGGTCTGGGTAACTGAAAACAACGGCACATTTCTCCAACTGATGTTTTTGGTGTTTTTGTCTCAGCATAGGCCCTGTCTTACAGTCCAGCGTGACAATCTTCGCCTCATTCGTTGGAATGCCGTTGTAGCTAGCAGACTGACTGGATCTCAATTCATTCTGAATGTTCTTGTGCTGCTTGTTTTCGTAGTTTGCGTAATCTCCCTGAGGGGGCTCTCCTAAGGATATATAAACGTTGAGACGTTCTTGGACTCATCCCATCAGCATCATTTCAACTTTGCATTCGCTCTCTTCAAGTCACTCGCTGCAAATCTCAAAAGAAGCAAAAGCACCCCCAGAATAAAAAGTAGGAAAACGAAACAACATTTTCAATCCACCAAGATGCGTTACGCCATCATCCTCTCGGCCTTTGTCGCCACTGCTCTCGCCGGCGACTGGGACGCCGCCACGCCCGAAAAGACAACAAGTGCTTCATGGCCCGACAAGACATCAAGCGCCGAGTGGTCTGAAAAGACATCAAGCTCCGAGTGGTCCGAAAAGGCAACAAGCGCTGAATGGTCCGAAAAGGCAACAAGCGCTGAGTGGCCCGAAAAGACAACGAGTGCTGAGTGGCCCGACAAAACAAACGCTGAGTGGCCCTCGAAGACGGAAGAAACACACTCGCAAATCACTCCTACATGGGAGGCTCACCCTCACCCTCCCCCTCCCAAGGTGGACTGCAAGCACGTCAAGGAGTGCACCGACGAGGTCGACAAGTGCAGGACCAAGCCCGAAGCCAACCAGGCCGAGTGCTCTTCCGAGTACGCAGACTGCCTCGGCTTCAACCCTCTCAACCCGGAAGCCGATGAAGCCATCAAGCAGTGCGAGGAGGAGGACCACAAGCCCGGCCACAACGAGACTCGCCCCAAGCCGCCGCCCATCATTGTGTCTGGTGCCTCGAGCATGGCACCATTGGGCCTCTTTAGCCTTTTGGCTGCTGCCGCTGCCGCTCTCCTGTAGAGAAAAGTGAGCTTGAGTGAACTTTATAGACTTGGATTTTTGGGTTATTGGATGGTAAATGTTAATGGATATCGGGGGGAAGTAATAAACAGCTGCAGTCAGCCACCTATACACGGCAATGGCTTGTAGAGCATGAATAACAAATTTCCGTTTCTCTCTCTTGTTTCAACCTTCATTCTCATTGTTGGCGTAGTGATACTTGTTGTGCTGTGCAAGATCCTCTGCCGTGTAAGTGAAGACCAATCATCAAACGCAATCTCGCAAGTACCGGAATCGAATCGCATTCCCCGGCGTCGGCCCGCGCCCCTCGTGGCTTGTGTCATCCGGGCCAAAGAACCCCGCCATCCGCCAAATTCCCAGATCTTGCATCCACTTGGCGACTTCTCCATCGACAAATCCACGCCCTTCCCGACGCAAAGCGCCCCGATACGCTCACAAGGTGAAGTGGGCAAAGCCATCAGCGACATCACCGTTTGCCCATTTCCCCCAGTGCGCGGGAAAAGGACGCAGAACATGACTGCCCAGGAACACGAGCTGCGAGGCCAAGAAGAATCAATACCAGCATCTGCTGCCCGATCCGCGCCAAACCCAGAACCGGAGGTCGCCTCCGACACCGCGCTCTCCGAGGCCGAGGTTGCGCAGGTCAAGAGGCACATCGCCGAAGCGCTAGGCGTTGCCAGCCACTCTGCGGAGGAATATACAGGCGCATCGCTCTATTATGATGCGGCGACCATGGCGCCGCTGAATTCCTTTTCTTTGGTCAGTTTGTGTTTCTTGATGTTGCATCGCTTGCTTATAGGTGTACACGATAGGCCGCCCTCAACAGATTCCGAGCATACAAGCCCCCCTCGTTCCCGCTATGGGACAGGTTGCCGGCGCGCAAGCGAGCCGCCGTCCTGGTGCTGCTGTTTGCGGATCGATGGGGCGATTTAAGAGTCGTCGTTACTATGCGCGCGGCCAGTCTGCGCAGCTTCTCGGGCCATGCAGCGCTGCCGGGCGGCAAAGCAGACAGCAAAGAAGAGACGCCGTGTATGTACTCTATACATGTCGAGAGGATGAGATAGACTCGGCTGGCTAACCGGATGAAAATAGACCAGATTGCGCGACGAGAGGCATACGAAGAGATTGGACTCCCCATGGACGACCAAAAGATACCCAAGCCGTTTCGCATCGAGCAGCTGTGCTACCTGCCACCGTCTTTGGCGCGGACGCATCTGGTGGTTACACCTTGTGTCGCATTCCTGCATGCCGATCGGACCTCTGCCGATTCGCCGCCTGCGTTGGTTGAAGAAGCCATGATCCCTCGACTGGATGCGCGAGAAGTCGCTGCCGTCTTCAGTGCTCCCTTTTATAATTTCCTCAAGGCCAGCGACCTGCCGCCCCGGGAAGGCGAAACGCTACCTCCAGGACACTGGTACGACGGCTCTTGGACGAACTGGAAAGGAGAACAGTGGCGAGTTCACAACTTTTACGTGCCTGTCAACAATCAGAGAGTATCAAGGCCCAGGAGAGGCAGCGCAGCTCAAATAGAGCTGGCGGACCAGTTGGAAGAGAGCCAAGACCACGAAGGCCGGTTCCGAGTCTGGGGCATGACTGGCAGGGTGCTCGTCGATGCAGCGAGGATTGCATACAATGAAGAGCCCGAGATGATACACAACTTGGACTTTGGAGATCTCAATGTCATCCGAATCGCCGAGGAAGAGGGCGCGTTGGATGAGAGCACCCTACCGGAAAAGAAAGAAGAAGAGCAGAAGCCTGCCAAGATGTAATGAAATTGATAACTGTCACAAGACCAGGCAAGGTCGCCACGTTATCCATGAAGCGACCCCAATCTGTCTACTTTGTATACGCAATAGAGTAAGACGATGAAGGTTTCGTCGACGACACCATACAGATAGAGTAATTGTTCAAGCATGTTGCAAATCAATCAAGCAAATCATTTCGCTTTCTAACACGCACTCCAAGCGCATAAATCTGGAAGCAGCTGTAATATACCGCATTTCTTAATGGCAAGCATTGTCCTTTGTTGCCGACGTGGAATGGCCGAACAAGAGGTAGCCGAAAAAGGCACCCGCCGAGACAGCAACCATAACCCAGCCGTTATAAGTCATGAAGACAAGCCTTGATATTGGGTATAAAGAGATTAGAGAGATAACCATCCGTGAAACAGAAGATGCCAATAGGGTGGATAGGCTTACATGAGCATAAAGGCGTAAAAGTTCTGAAAGGCGTAGAGTAGGGCTTTGATGAGGTGGCCTCGCTTGCTGAAATCGTCGCGGTTTTGCCCTGAGCGGGTGAAATCGAGTGTCTCAGCAACATTGTCTTCCACGTCATCATCATTATTGTCGCGATAACCATGCGCAGTCGAGTCTCATGGACAAGTCAGACTTAGCATGCGCATGTTCTTTCGCAGGAGATTGGCCAGAGCTTTTGCTTTTTTTTCGCTCGCAACCGGCGCAGATCAGGAGAAAAGAGAGAAGCATTTCAAATTACTCACTTGGAACGGTCTCTAGTCGCTTCGCCAGAGATGCCTCGTAGTTGCGGGACACGGAGCGCAGAGCCTCGTATCCCATGCCGATGAGAACAACTGCGATGAGAGACAGGACGAGCGAGGTGTTGGAGCGGATGTGCCACTGGCGGAACACGATGCAGAGATTGGTGGTGTCCCATGTGAAGAGCATCTAACGTGAGTATAAGCTTGCTGAACAGAGAATGGAAGGGCGGATATGAGAAGGCAGTAGGGAGAGGATATCCTTACGCTCATGCTGCACATGTCGTCCATGTTGCCGCCGCCGTGGCCGCCGTGGCCTTCCATGGAATTCATGTGGTGGCTGTGGTCCATTTCGAGCGTGTTTCTAGGATCAAATAAGATGATGATCCAGTGCTGTAGTTGAAAGAAGTTGAAAGAGCTGATGGAGAGTCGAGATGCGACCAGGTAGAGGTACTTGGTACCTGTTGGTGTCGAACAGGCAGCTTTTTGTGGGCCTGAAACCAATCAGACACAGAGGAGGCACTGTTCAGGCTATCCGTACCGCGCCAGATCTATAGGTACTTGCTGGTGCCTCATCGGTGCTGAAACGAGCTGAGGTACAGAGCGGTACGTGTGCGCAAGTTATGTACCCAAGGGCTGGGAGCTTGCCAAATCGGCCACTAGGGCAATCTCTCTGGAGTTCAGCGCCGGTGTTGGCGCCATGCTGTAGTGGAGTTTACAGCGGACCTCCTGCGGGAGTCCAGCTCGGTGAGGATCTGTAGAGGGTGGTATTAGCTATTTGAGTGACAGAATAGGATTGAGTGTATAGATGGCCGATATTATATCTGTAGATAATAAGACGCGAAGAGAAGAGTATACAGAGATGGACAGTATAGACGGGCTGAACAAAGAGAGAAGCCAGTCTTACACGCATCATGTTTGCTGCCAGCCGTAAACCGCAGCTGAGATAGCAGGCTTTCCTCTTTAGGAACTGGGTCATACAAACAAAACAAGCATGCAGTAGATGGATGGCCAAGCTGAAATCTCGCGCGGGAAAGCTCTCAAACTAAATAGTTGCGTGTCATTAACGTGTGACAACCGCGGGGGCCACCGCGTTTCTCCCCCTGAAAGCTGCTGTCTGCCTTTTGTATGGCTGGCTCTTGTCAAGTTGGGCAGCGCTCGTGTAACACTGCACGGCATCCTCCAAGCCCAGCTTCGGTGTAGCTGAAAGCAGCCCCTTGCATACTAGAGCCTTTCTTTTCTTTTTGTGTGTGCTTTTCTTCTAGAGGATTCCAAGTACAAATTGCACGTAGCTGCTCTCCTCGAAAAATTGATTTCACCATCAGGAGGTGATTGTTGTTAAACTGCCTTGCATCGACATAGCCCGCCCACCATGAACCCCGTCGAGCAGGCGTTTTCAGACTCGCTCAACGATAGAGGGCCAGGTCGAACCATTTCTATTGACAAGGGCGGACAAGACATTCGTCGCCCCATTCACGAAGACGAAGCACTATGCAGCTACATCTTGAGCACGGTCAAGGCTCCCGCGGGCGCTCTCAAGATTCGAGAGTCGACCATTCCTGATTCCGGCTCGGGCCTATTCACAACGCGAGATCTTGCCGCGGGCGAGCTCATCTTTACATCGGTGCCTCTTGTGCTCTGCGCGGAAGTTGGCGATTCAAAGGAAGCCTGTGATTTTTGCTTCCAGCAGCGGCGACGAGCCATCCATCCCGTTGAGGACCGCCTGGCTGACCCGGGAGAAACGCTGCCAGACGTGTACAAATGCATGGGCTGTAACTTGTACCAGTACTGTTCGGAGGTATAGTTGATTCTTCTTCCCAAGCTTTCATTTTGCTTTTCATCATTTTTTCTCATCAAATTGGTATTTCGCAGTCTTGCTGGCAGCGAGCCTGGGACACTGGCCACTTATACGAATGCGGGCTGCTGGCCAATGCCCCCTACGAACTCGAAATCAGAATGTTGTACCGCATCCTCATTTTGCTGCGTAAGAAAGTGCTGCTGCCGGAACAAGTTCAAGCACTCGCCAGGCTTGCGCACGAGCAAGACAAATACGAGCAGCTTTCCAGCGATTGGCAAGGGGTCAAGGATATTGCCGCCGAGGCCAAGCGGCGGATGAAGAGCGAGCTCGACGTTGCCGATGTTTTGAAACTATACTGCCTTGTAAGTCAATTCTCCCGTTAAAAGAAAATGATCAGTGGCTACGATGTAAAGAAGAGGCTAATAAGATTTCTGTCTTGTTTGTTCATAGATCAGATGTAACGCTGTACCGGTCGACCAGACTTTTCGAAACTCTCCCCTGGGCTCTGCCATCGACTTGGGAGCAGCCATGCTGAACCACAATTGCGAACCCAACATTGTGATTGTATTCAACAGCACGCGAGTAGAGGCTCGAGCCGTGAGGAGCATCAAGGCAGGCGAAGAGCTCCAGCACTGTTACCGGGACATTGCATACGACTGCACGTTTCGCAGCCCGAGAATCGCAGCAAGATATCAGTTCAAATGTCAATGTACGTTTACATCTACAATTTGAAGAAACAGAGATGGATGATGTTGACCTTGCCTCAGGCGACAGATGCATCCGAGAGACCAACCGCCACTATGAGGGCGCGAGTCCCGACATCGACGACCCCATCATCCACATCCTCGCCACGCAGGGAGATTTGTTTGCCATTATCGAAAAGGCCAAGATCCAGGCCCTCGCATTCCGCGAATCCTTCAACGTCACCACGTTCCTCGCAGAGATTGACGACATCACCGAGGAGGGCCACGCCGGCCGTCCCTGGCCAGAGGACCTCGAGCCGCTGCCAATTGTGCTCAAGTCCCTCGCAGCGATATGCGACGCGCAGGGCGACATTGTCAAGACGCTCAAGATCCGCGTCCGGGCCCTGGGCCATGCAAAGTACCGCAACACGCTCCCCTACGTCGAGGACCTCATCGACTTTGTGGTCTCGCTGCGGGCCTTCACCATGTATCCGCACCGCAAGGTTGTGCTGGACGGGCCGCTGCCCAAGTTCAAGGACTTTGAGGACTTTAGCGTTGGCCACATGTGCGCGCTGCACGCACTGCTGATTCGGTTCTACGGGGAGCAGGGCAGGGTGACTCGCATCATTCGCGACATTATGCGCGAGGAGATTGACAAGTACTACGGGCCTCGGCCGCCGACGAGGGTGTTTCGGCGCAAGTTTAAGGCTTCTCATGAGACCATTCTCAAGTGGGCGGGGGTTGACCCCAAGTGTTGGGTTGTTGAAATCAGCTGATGCATTTTTTGCACAAGTTTCAATGTTCTTGTATACTTGTTGGAAGATGATGTTGGAGCTTGGGAGAGCAGCAATGACAGCTGCACAGTGTGATTTGTACACATTCTATATTGATATTCGCACGGTATTATATATCATTAGCTCGGAGTGCCGGAGAGGCAAATGTGGGATTGGCTCGTCAACTGGCTTAGTGATGGTTGCTTGATAATGATAATTCAACTATTACTTCTTTGTCTTGCCTCTGTAACAATTCTTGCTCTGCAGCTTTTCTCAAGTGACGTTGAACCTCATCACATATACGTACAGCTAGAGCAAGTCTCCTTCTCCCTCTACTTTCACACCAACCGAGCTAACCTCGCAATTTAGCCTTTTGCCTCATTCTCTTATTTCGGTTCAAGCATAACAGCTTGTGTAGCTAACTATTACGTAGCTCGCCTTTTGCCGCTCACTCGTCGTTATCAAGCTTCGTAGCTTCAGAGTCATACCACCAGCTCGCTCACGTCCTCATTACAACACAAAAACCTATAAAATGCTCGGACCGCCAGTTAACCTGCCCAAGTGGTGAGTTTCTATATTAATATTTTTTAAAAAAAATAATGCTCTGCTAACACGTGCGTCTTCATCACACAAGGCTCGAGGAAAACTCTCACCTGCTCAAGCCGCCCATCGGCAACTACTGCGTCTACAACGATGACTTTGCAGTCATGGCAAGTCTTTCCCCATCCATCTGTTGCTGTTGTCTATAGAACATCACATGACACAATCCTGAAAAACCTCTAACATGCCATCAGATCGTCGGCGGCCCCAACGCCCGCACCGACTACCACATCAACCAAACCGCCGAGTGGTTCTACCAGTACCGCGGCGCCATGATGCTCAAGGTCGTCGACGGCTCGGCCTTCCGCGACATCATCATCCGCGAGGGCGACATGTTCCTGCTGCCCGCCAACACGCCGCACAACCCCGTGCGCTTCGCAAACACCGTCGGCGTCGTGCTGGAGCAGCGCCGCCCGCCAGACTCCATCGACCGCATGCGCTGGTACTGCGCCGCCTGCAACAGCGGCCTGGAGCCGGGCGCCGAGGCCGTCGTGGTGCACGAGGCGGCCTTTCACTGCACCGATCTGGGCACGCAGATCAAGCAGGCCGTCGAGGACTTTCGCGGCGACGAGGAGAAGAGGACGTGTCGCCGGTGCGGCACCATGGCGGACTGGGCGCCGCCGCCGGGGTCGATTCAGGATCCGAATTTGGTGGCGTGAGCATGGTGCAATGTACTGCTGCTGGTGTATACACCGAGGGACTGCTCTTAGGGTAGATGTAAGGGGTAATAGTAGTAGTAGTAATGCATGATGACTTTCACACTCTTGTCCTGATATACAACAAAACTCACATCTATCCTCTCTATATACACCTACACCACCACATGCTCACGTCTCCGAAAACTCATACGCCGACGCAGACAGCGCCACCGGCACCTCAATCCTCCCCTCGTCCACCTCCCTCCCATCCACCCTCACGCCCGCCCTCATCACGTCGCCCGGCACCACGGGCCCAACCCCCGCCGGCGTGCCCGTCAGCACCACGTCGCCCGGCATCAGCGTCATGACGCGCGAGATGTCGCTCATGATGCGCGGGATGCGGTAAATCATGAGGTTCGTCGACCCCCGCTGCTTCGTCTGCCCGTTGACCTCGAGGAACAGCTCCGCGTCGTGCGGGTCCGCGATGGCGGCCTTGGGGATCACGTTGCTCATGGGCAAAAAGGTGTCGAAGCCCTTTGCAATGGACCAGGGGAGGCCCTTTTTCTTGGCCTCGTTTTGGACGTTGCGGGCCGTCATGTCAATGGCAATGGCGTAGGCTATAATGTCAGTTACATGCATGTATATCCGGGACACCCATTCAAACTCACCCTTGATCGCGTCCAACGCCCCCTTCTCATCCTCGGGGTGCAGATTCCGCACCATCGATCCAATAATAAGAGCCAGCTCAACCTCAAAGTGCATGTCCACGCCCTTGGGCTGCAGACACGGCCCATCGCCAGGCAGGATAATGGACGAGGCCGGCTTGAGGAAGAAAAAAGGCTTCTTTGGCTTTGCGTTTTTCAGCTCTGCGATGTGGTCCCTGGATACAGCAAAATTTTAGCAGACTTTTTCTAATGAATGAATCATCAAGTAGCTTATGAGATTCACCTACGCGTAGTTGCGGCCAATGCAGACCACCTTGCCAGCATTCTTCAGCGACGAAGCCTGCGAGGCCACAGTGGCCATTGTTCTCCTGAGGCCAAACATGGTGACGGATAATGAGCCTCTCGTTCTATAAGCTCCAAGAAGATATCCAAAGTGAAGCTTGAGCAATATCAGTAAAGACCCTTGAACAAGCTGCTCTGGCAAATCAAGTCAAGTTGCTGAAGCTCAATGCGGGTAAAAGATGAAGCTGTGCTCGGTTGCCGAACGGCGTAGCCTCGGCACTCAACCTCTCCCCGATTACAGCGCTCTAGCTCCCCTGGAAGTCACCCAAGCTACAGGGCACTCCGACTTCGCAGCCTCTCTGTTCGTTATTTGCTGCGTCTGTTTCATCATTTCTGATCTTGGCTTTATACTGCCAAGGTACAAGGCCATTATTGCACGTTTCGTCAATTGATTTCATGTATTCCACTGCATTTTAAATATTCTCCTTAATGCTTCAAGCTATTGACGTCTTCTTGCTGCAATATATCTACAAAGCAGCCTCATCTAGGTGCATATCTTCCTGGGAATACCACCCCTCAACCTCATACTATGCCAGATGCATGCCTTGCTCTCCTATGTACTATACTAAATGAATAGCTCAATCCGTTTTGTGCTCTAGACGCCGTGCCAAAGTTCTTGAAAGAAAGAAGAAAAGAAAAGCAACCATGCTCATAATTCGTCGGAACCAGCCCCTTGTCCAAATGCTCATTTTGTGGAATAGAATGCCGTAGCCTCTCAATCAAGCCATGTAGCGGTACATGGACGGCGCTCCGTCTTCATCCGGCCGCTCGAGGTATTCTCGCACTATGAGATCCTCGATTCGCTTCTTGATGAGAGTTACCTCGGGTTTGAAGCGGCCTACCAGCTGAGACAGAACCTCGCTCACCAACTGTGAGTGGCTGAGTTCTTTGCGGGCCCTGGTTCAACATGTTAGTAGCTGGAATAATCATTCGTCAAAGTCTATGATCAAAACTTACTTCATGATTCTTACAATCGCTGCATCCACTATATGGGCCCGAGTCTGGTTGTTCTTCTCTTCTGTAGACTTTCGCTCCTCCTTGTCCTCAACCTTGGAAATGGCATTGATGATGGGCGCTTTGATTCTAATCGTTTTGCTCTGGAAAGAAGCGTTGAACGAAAATTTATCACCAGGCTTGATAGTCTTTGTTGGCGGGTCTTTGGCCAGAACGCGAGATCTTGGTGCTACCGAGATTGCCATGAGCGCCCGCGTGAGGTCCACCGTTGAAATGCTTGTTTTGGCTTGGATTTCCTCAAATGACAGGCTCTCGCCGTCCTTCAAATCGTTGAACAACATCAGCACAATCATGCCAAAAGTAGGGACGTTGATCTCATAACGACGCTCTCGCGCCAATGGACCAGACTTCCCCTCAATAGCTGGGAACGTGCATTTGATATCGGCGCTGCCGGTGGTGCCAATCCAGGTGAGCTTTCGTCCATTACGATTAGTCAAATAGAACTGCTCAAAGCTAGCTTGCAGCCGCTTGACCTCTTGCGGGTATGTGCATTGCATTCTTGGCGCATCGTCAAGCTGGACGGAGCGTCCCATGACCTCTTGTGGCCAATAGTTGGTCGTAAGCACATTCACATTCAGCTCAACGGTATGGCTCTCATCTCCCAGATTGCGTATGTGGTCGCGATACGTTGATGTTAGCTCGGCGGATGTGACGAGATCTCTAAACATTCCTTCAAACTTGCTTGTAAACTGCTGTCCCATCTCCTGCTTCATGCGTAATATGATTTGCTTTTCAACATCGTGGCTTTCCGACTTGCCATGGAGAAGTCGTCGTGCGAGATGGCGTTGGTAGTAGGTTTGGAAGAGGTCTTTGTCTGCCAGATAACGAATCAAGACGACGGCCTTTTCAAGAATGGCATCCACTTCATCTTCCGTTTTGCCTCTGATGCCCCTCTTTAGACTGTCGTCGATGAAGAGAGAAACGTATTCTGAGCTCCGGTTGAACATGTTGATGAAGTCGGAGAAGCTCTTGGTCAGTGCAGTTTGAATCACTAGATCGTCTTGGAAGCAATTTGCCAGCATGTGGTCAAATTTGTCCTTTAGCCGAAGCACGTCGTCAACCCATTTGATGGCTGCGGCAGTTTGCTGCGCGGCAGGGTTAAGCGTCTTCACCTTGTCACCACCTTCTTCTTCGCCATCAGCTTGTGCCGTCGAAAAGTCGGTGTTCTTCAAGACACTCTCAATTTCCAATCCCAATTCTACGACTCGCTTTTGCAATATTTCGCGAAGAGCCGTCTTCTTATCATCAACTCTCGAGATTAGTGAGTACAAGATCTTGAGATCATCCGTCTTGTCGTTATCAATCATCCACCTCAGACCGCTGCCCTCCATGGCAAGGAAATCACCCAGGTGGCCCTGGATAAGTTTCTGATCCACCACTTGCGACACCTTGGAAAGTGTCTCGAGCTCGATGGTGGTGCCGCATCGATCCTCTTCCTCGATGAGCCGGTTTTGGGTGTGTCGTAACCATGTGCTGGCGTCAGATTCCCGTAGTAGCCGTTCACACTCTCTCGTGTAGAATGTTTCGCTATTGCTGAGGAATCGCGGCTCAAAGATGGTTAGATAGAGCTTGCTGCTCTCCGATTCATCCTCAGTTTCGTACAGGCAGCTCAGCATGCGACTGCAGCTGCGGATGAGCGCTCGGTCAATCACATCTCCACGCCTCTCCATGTCGATCTGGTCCAGCATAACAGATATAAGAATATCCATAATCAGGCTATCGGAATTCGCGTTAAGGCAAGAACGTAATATGTGGTCTCTAAATAATGCAATGGTCGTAGCGAAGATGGGCACTCGGCGTGGCTCCTGCTGTGTGTAGCCTCGATCAAGATACATGAGGATATCTGCTGTCATGTTCATAGACATGTTGTGGTCTTCCCACGTATCTCGCAGGCCCTTGAGGAATTTCTCACCCGTCTGTCTTCGCTCGTTGACAGAAGTCGACGACGAAATGTCCATGCCAATGTTGATGAGGCTCTTGGTGACCAAGATTTCGATCTTGGGAATGACATGCTCGGCAAACCATTGCTCCTCAAACTCCTTGACTTTATCGTACAAGACCTCGCCCTTCTTCTTCAGCACAATCTTGTAGGCCGCTCGGTATAGCTCTTCGAAGGACAGACGACCGCAGCTTTTGTTGTGGATATCGCGCAGCGCTTCCTTGATCATGTTCCAACATGCTTCGAAATCGGATCCCTCGCCAGGTGCGTTTGGCTGTTTACGACGACGGTTAGCTGGTCTGCGAGGCCGGGGCTTGAAGCGAAATGGGGGGGCAGAAGGTTCTGTAGCTTGAGGAGGCACCTCGGTGCTGGTGCTGGCGCCCATCGTAGCATACCATGCGAGGTGGGGGGAAGGGAAAAAGGGAGAGGAAAGAAAAAGAGGGCGATGCAGATTCGAAGAGCAGCTCTGATGAGGCTCCATGCTAGCAGGGTGAGGTGCGCTCAAAGTGCGCTGGAGCAACAGCAGAGAGTGAGGAGCGCAGATGCGCCGTGAATTTGGCTTCAACTTACACGCACAATCCGACGAGGTGGGCGGATGCGACCCCGAGCCCCCGCTCCCCCTCGCCCGGAAATCATTGTTGGCTCAGCTCCTGGTGAAAAGCCCAGAGCAAACAGTCGAGAACGAAAGAGTCTCGGCAGAAACAGGCCAGCTGTCGTGGGAGCTCAGCCGCCAGACAGAGAGACAAACAGCCCCCCAAAGGCGTCGCACAGATGGTGGGGAAGTGGCAGAGCTAAGCGGCGGGCAGATCTTCAGCTGGTTGGTTTGGCAAGAGACGGAAAACGATCGTCGAGCTGAATTTAAGGGTTCCTCGTGAAGATGGCCATGCGTCGCCGCCGAGCTCTGTGAATTCTCTCTGTGGCGATGGACGAAACGAGTGTCTGCTGGACAAGGTGAAGGAGCTCAGAAGCTGCCTGTGACAAACCACGTCGATTGGCAATAGTAACTCCGCGCCGAAAAAGAATTACCGGGGTCTCCTTCGCGGGCGCATTGTTATCGATAAAACAAATGCTTGGTGCACTTCTGGTGGAAGGTTCTGACAGCTGGCGGGAAAGTACCGGGGTACCTGAGCCTTAAGTCCGCCATAGCTTACAAAGTGGCTGCAGCTCCCATCGATCGAAAAGTATGGAGTACATGGGCAGCTCCTGGAACGAACGCTTTGGGCAATGCACCTTCACGTGATGAGACACGTCCCTCCGTTGGCTACAGCATCACGTGCCTGAGCTAGCTCTCCCAGCTTTATGTAATCAAAAATCCAGCTAATGATGGGACTCTATTTTTCCGACCGACAATTGGAGGCATCCGCCAGCCTTGCAATATCCAGCGTGTGACGAGGCAACGCGTGAGGAGGCACTTTAGAAACCCTTTTACGATCCCACACCCGGCCAGAAAGGCCTTTGCCGTCATAATGAAGCTCGTCAGGTGAGTGATTGTTCTTTAGTTCCTATTCTTGGAATGCATTGTGGCATTGTCTGCATCAACCAGCTTCCCCCCATCTTGTACTAAGCCATCAACTTCCACAGCGCTAACATTGCCCGATTTCCAGATTTTTGATGAAATGCTCCAACGAAACGGTGACCGTTGAGTTGAAAAATGGTACGATACGAGATATTTCCATGCGTTTGAGCATCATGCAGCTTCAATCGCCGAGCAATTCGTCACTAACTCCCCCCGTCAGGCACCATCGTCCACGGCACCATCTCCTCAGTCTCTCCCCAGATGAACGTCGCCCTTCGCACGGTCAAGATGACCGCTCGCGGACAGGATTCTCTCGCTCTCGACACGATGAACATCCGAGGCTCAACAATCCGATACTTTATCCTCCCCGACTCTCTCCCTCTCGACACCCTGTTAATCGATGACGCACCCAAGCCCAAGAACAAGGCACGAAAGGAGACGGACCGAGGAGGTCGTGGAGGCCGCGGAGGCCGTGGCAGAGGAGGTCGCGGACGCGGCCGCGGCCGTGGACGTGGTTAAAGGATTCCCAATGGCGATGATAATAATACGACAATAACGGATAGAGACACCGAGGCACTGCTATCATCTTTTTTATTTCTCTTGCTTTACAGCTGGCCGGGCCGGGAGCTCCATATCGGTTGGGACAAAGGATCTTTTGTAAACGATACAGAACAAAAAACGAGGGAGAAAGACATTTTTTGAGTTCAAGGACTGTGGAGGCGATGTCGCAAATTGCGATGGAAACGGCGATTTTTTTTTTTGGATGCACTTTACGCATATAAAATTGAAGAAAGGAAACTTGCCATATATAAGCGCTTGGTGGAGGAGATGGAAGCGATGGTGGTCGTTATGATATGTATGCAAAGAAGAAATCTAATCAAAAAATTGACAAGATATCCAAGTAGATAAACTGCGTGTCAGTCCTTGCTCCTAAACAGCTAAATACAATATGCGTAACAATATGCGTATACATCTTCAAGCCGATACGTCTCTCCATATCCGCACAATCTGCAGCTTCTCCCATCCCGCCGTCTTCCCACTCGACCCAACCGTAACAGCCCTCCACTCAGGTCCAAAAGCCTGTATCCGGGTCTTGACCTCTTCAGGCTTATTCTGCGCGCAAAGAAGAATGTAGGCGCACCCTCTCGACGAGAGAATCTCTGGCAAACCGTCAATCAGCCTATCCGTAGTCTCCATGCCATCTTTGCCTCCGGCATAGGACAAGGAAAGCAAATAGGAATCGTCATCAAACGACGTCTTTGACGGCAAATCTTGCGTAAACGTCTCCGGCCGACAGGGCATCTCCGAAGTGGGCACGTACGGCGGGTTGAACACCAGCACGTCCACGGAATGCTTTCTCAGCGGAGCTGCCAGATCGCCCATTACAGAGCCCAGGTACAATCCGTGCGGCTTCTCATGGCCGCCTGCTTCGGCGACTGAGTCGGCCTGTGCCTTTTCTACAGTCTTGATGGTGGCGCGGCAGGCAAAGGCGTTCATGTCCACTCCCGCGGTGAGAATCTGGTTTGTGCCAAAGAGGGTCTTTGCGTGGGCGGTGATGAAGGCCAGGACGACGCCGGACCCTGTTCCTAACTCGACTACGAAGGGGATGGCCTTTGATGATGATGAAGCATCGGATGAAAAGGTCTCGTGCAGGTACTGCGTCTCCGAGGCGGATGAGAGCGTGTCGAGGAGGAGGAAGGAGTCTTCGGCGGGCTCGTAGACACGCTCGTAGGGGACGTGGGATGTATCTGGTGTTGGAAGCATTGTTGTTTTTCTTTTGTCTTATTGATTTGATATTCAAGTTGTTGTGAGATGAGATGTGGTGAAGGCTTCATTTAGAAGTTTTTTTTTTTTTCTTTGGGCAAGTTTGACTGATGTCGAATGGCACTTGGTGGGGCCACGTGATGTCATAAAGCTGAATGAAGTTTCAAAGTAATTTGAAGAATTTTGGTGATTTTAATGAGAGGAGTTTTTTATGAAAATACCCGTGGAGTGGGCTTTAATATTCTATTCGTTTTCAAGTGAGGTCCTGTCGCTGCTGTTGTACCAAGATCTAAGCACGAGTACATACGCCACCACACTAAAACGCCACCCTTCCAGCGAAGCATATATCAACTTCCAACAACGCTCAACTCTCAAAACTCATCTTTTTCAATCAAAAAAAATAATAATTCACAAAATCACACACCCCCTCGTCTCCCCCATCCTCATCTCAACAGCCCAATCCCCTCCCTCCGGATCCAACCCCCAATGAATCCCCCACCCCATCCTCTCCACCATCTGCACCACCCGCCGATCATACATTCCGCCCAGATCGCATCTCGGACACGCCCTGGTGCTCGTCTTGTAGAACTTGGGAGTCTTCTTGATGCTGTCGCCGCCGCAGAAGCTGGCGCAGGTGGAAAAGTCCATGTACGGGCCGCAGGGGGTGGTGATGACGGCCCAGGTGTGGTTGCAGCTTTTTTGTTTGAAGAAGGTGACGTTGCACATTTTTGGGTTGTCTGTTCTTTGGTGTGTTTCTTGGTGTTATTATGAATTGTGAAAATGTTGGATATAGTGTTTTCGATGAACGTTTTATCAGATTATGTTTCTGACGATTCCTAGCTCGGAGGCTCAAAGCTGGTTTGATGTAGAGGCGCTCGACAACAAAAAAGCACAATGGAAGTGATTCACAGAGATCAAATTATTCTCCTTTCAAGCTGTCGAGAAAACGAAAGCCAAGAGGACAAAACGGGCCGCTTGCAGCTGGCAGTGAATCAGTCCAAGCCGAAACTTACATCCACTCACGATATCTCGGAATGACAAACAAATCACTGCAGACGGGAATAAATTTGCCAATAATTCATTTCAAACTATTGCCGGTACGCCTCTATTTCCTATCAATGCTCCGATGTTCAATGCAAAAAAAAAAAAAAAAAAAAAGATGAGAAATGAACCATCAGAAGGCATGGTGTCCACTCAACGTAAACATAAAGTCGCTATTTAAATGCTCCAGCAATTTCCAACAAATTCACTTCCTTTCAAAAATTCGATTCCTGCCCTCTAAAGGTCGAGTCCAGAGTGGTACCATCCCCCACAGGCAGTGTATCGCTCTCTTCAATGTCACTCTGTGGCGTCACCAGCCTCGAGAGCATCTCCTCCATCCGCTCCATGGCCTTCTCCATCGCTGCCAGTCTACTCGCCATCTCTGCGTAGTCTTCGCCCGTTTCCGTAAGCGAGCCCCGCAGCTTTGGAGGAATCTCAAACATGGAGTCTCGGCGCGAGGCTTTCCGTATGGTATGTTGCGATTCCTGCCGCTGGTACTGTCTCCGGATGAGATGGTGCGTCAGGTCATCGTCCACGGCAATGTCGTCGTGCACATCGTCCGGAGGCGGCACGTCGAACACGGCTCGGATGTACTGGTAGGCTGAGAGCTGCCATTTCTGCCAGAACCATTTTCGGGCCAGCGATATACCCTCAAAGTCGTCCGTCGGCCAGAGAAGACGGCGCTCGGCAACGGCGATGAGCAGCAGTAAGGGGAGATTGACTAGACGAACGGTGGCAACGTGGATTTTGTGAAACCATCGCGGACTGACGACGAATTTCAGCGGCAAGAGAAGGAAAACGGCAACGAGATTGAAGGGAGGTTGATAAGCAAAGACGGCGTCTGCCTTGACACCCTCTAGAGTGCGGACGGCCTTTCGGAAGTGGATTTCGGCGGTGGCGTTGCTCGAGATGTTGCTAAACGTGTTGGATAACATGGAAACGAGGATGGTGAGGAAGAGGGTGTTGCCTAGAAAAGCAAATGAGATCATGACGATGGGTCCCAGCAACCAGTGGAATTCCACCTACAATAGCCATCGTTGCGTCAGCACACAAAATCTCTAAAGGGGTGTTGGCTCAATAGAAGAAACACTTACCGATCGGTGAATGCCAGTACCATCCAGCCCAAACCAGATGTATATCATCCACTTTGAAATCGTACTAAACAAGCCAATGTGATATTAGCAACAAGACTTTGGCTCAACAAAGGAAACGAAAGCAGCCAGAAACTTACAGCAGTGGATGAGCTCCCTCTCCCAGCCACAGCAAAGACAGCAAAAAGCCAAAGAAGCACCACGCCGAAAGCGCCGTGAGCAAGAAGAAATCCGCCATCATAGACCTCAACGCCAAGAAGACCAGGTTATCAGACAGCCAGTTGAACGCCAAACGAGGGACGAGCACAGGCGCCGCCAATGCCAAGACGTCAAAGGCCTGCTCGGTGGGCCCTGGTAAACCGGTTCTCAGTCCATGAATCCGCAGGCTGCTGTAGATGACAAAGAGGAAGATGAAGGTGACATCGAGGAAGGACCAGAGGTTTTGCGTATACACATTCCTATATTATACATGTTAGCTGCCGTTGAACGCAATCGCGTTTTGACAGAGTAAACGAGACTTACCATCCATGCGCCAGAATCGTGGCAAACTGGTCCAGGCTCCAACCAAAGGCATATATCGAAAACGCCGCCTCCAGCAGGGGAATCTCGCCATTCCTCCGCATAGTCATGACAGAAGCATACAGCCCCAGCAAGATGGTAAACTGGATCGCCTCCAGGTAGTTGCGCGTCCTCGGCACAATCAGACGATACTGGTTCAGCAGCGGCGATTCCCGCGGATCATACAGCGAAATGGGCTTCAGCTTGTAGTGATCCGGAATGATGTCCCACGACGTGGACGGCGTGTAAATCACACGGCCCTCGTAAATGGCCGCCACAACCCTCTGACACGTCGTCGAGCTGAGAAAGTGTCTGCTCTCAGTCAGGATGGCGACCTCGAGCGCCGGCAGCGTCCGGTGAGTCGACCACCAGGCCTTGTCTTCGGCTTCTTCTCGTACATGGGTCGGCGCGTGCTGGAACGGCTCGAAGCCGGCAACCAGGATGTGTGCCAGCAAGAGCAGCCCCTCTGCGCCGCCGTCGTGATCCTCGCCGAAACGCCGCAGGATGCGCGTGGCGATGAGCTCACACAGCGTGGCACGGGTCCAGTTGACGTTTTGCCGGTTGCTGGACCGGGATTCTTCGTCTAGGAATTGTGCTCTGTTGACGAGCAAGCAGTACACTGTAAGAGGAGGCTCGGTCAGCATCTCAGCCCAGCCATCATTTGCTGAACTCTGTGTTTTCATCACATCATGGTGAAAGCATCAAGATGAATATATATAGACAGCCTTACCGATGGATTCATCGCCCAGCTCATAAAACTTATCCACGAGCGGCCGGATGACCGTCACATTAATCTTGACATCCCGCAGCTGCTCCAGCGTTAGATAATCCTCCACCACGCTCACAATGTCGCGCCGGATGCGGTGGATGTTTGTGTACACGGGCAGCTCGCTGTGAGGGTTCGTCCGGCAGCTGAAGACGTGCTCGCCATTGTCCGCGCGCTCGGTGGAAAGCCTGCTGAGCAGCGGACGGCGCTCGTCGGGTTCGCCGGGGATTCTGAGCCGCCGCCGCCGTTCTGTCATGAGAATTGGCGCGCTTGGGGCTTCAATGGGGGCCTTTGTGCTGTGGTTTGGAGGTGGTTGCGGTGATGGGTTTGGTAAAGGTGATGACGATGACGATGGTGGCTGATGGCACTGGAAGCCGAAAGCTGCTGTTTATATAGGGCCCTCTAAGAAAAAAGAATGGGGAATCAACTGCGTTGAGTGTGCTGTCACCCACTCCAGGCTTGGGCTGTGAAGCTTATATCAGACAATAAGAAAAATATGATAGAGACAAGACTTTGACTAACAAGAAGGAAAAAAAAGAGACGAGGTGCGAAAAAGCAGAGACACACTTCGCCCCTTGGCGTCATTCCCGCCGCACCCAATTGTGGGCAGTGACACGCGCCTGATTGGACGCGGACCCCCACGGCGACGGGTGTCTAGGCGTCTAGGAGAAAAGAGCCGGGAGAGTGAGAGTCGTGGATGGATCAGGTGCCCGATTGAACAGCACAGAGATGGGTTTCTATTATGCAGATTGGGCGCTATTGATTATGATGACCCCTGTTTTGGCTTTGCTGTTTGATTTGTTTATTTCAATTCTCTTTTGAGTCAGATTTATTTTGCTTGGTAATACACCATCTGTTCATTGCTGCCCATCAACAGCAACTACACCAAAAATACATGCAGTATACCTATATCCACAGTCCATCTCATCTGTACAAGTGTATCTAATGAATCTTCTTCATCCTATACCCAAGCACAACTATCGCTTGCCTTTCGTATACCAATGCATCGTAAAAATAACCACCACTTGCATTACACATACTTCCTCACAACTTGGCCTCCTTCACCGCAGATCCAGCCCTCGCCTCCTCCGCCAACACCCACGCAAACTCCCCCAGCAACCCCCTCGTATCAGCATGCTGCTTCGCCTTTGCGCTGCTCGCCTGCCGCGCCGCCACCCGCGCCGCAATGCCCTGGCACACGCCCGCCAGCTTGAAGATGTTAAAGGCCGCGCCCCAGCTGAGCTCCGGCCGCGGGTCGTAGCCCGCAATCGCCGTGTACCACTGCAAAATGTCCTCGGGCTGCGGCAGGCCGGGCGTCGCGCCGGGCAGGAAGCCGGCGCTGCTGCTCGACGCCGACGTGCCGGGCGAGCGGGCGAGGTAGAACTGCGTGATGAAGTTGCACACGTCGGACAGGGGGTGGCCTATCGTAGACATTTCCCAGCTGGTCAAAGTGACACGGTTAGCTCCGTTCAGAAGAATCATGGATGTGAATGATATCAATCGAGAAATGCGGGACTCACTCCAAGATGCCAATCACCCGGGGCTCCGTCTTGTGAAAAACCAAGTTGTCAATCTTAAAGTCCCCGTGCACCAGCGTCGTCCTATCCTTGGGCTGCAGCCTCTCATTCTGAAAGAAGCCCACCAGCTCATCGAAATGCGGCAGCTGTCCCACCGGCTCCTTCGTCTCAACATCCACCGCCTTGCTCTGGCTGATGCAAATCGTCGCCCACGTCTGCGTCTGCCTGCTGTAAAACCCCGTCGCCTTGCCAAACTTGTCCAGCCCGACCTTGTGCACGTCCACGGCATGCAGCCTCGCCAGCGTCTGGATGGCCTCCTTCCACAGCGCCGTCCTCTCCGCCGGGCTCGCGACGCCGGGCATCAAAAAGTCCTCAAAGATGCGCCCGTCCAGAAACTCCATGATGTAAAACGGCGTGCCAATCACCGAGTCGTCCTCGCAGAGGCAGTACGTCTTGGGCACGGCCACGTCGGTCGCCTCGAGGGCGTGCAGCGCGCGGTACTCGCGCTCGACCTTGTGCGCCGTCTTGGAGATGAGCTTTCCGGGGGGCTTCTTGCGCATCACGTAGCGGTTGCCGGCGGCGTCGGTGATTTGGTATGTTGGGTTGGATTGACCGAAGCCGAACTGGAGTAACAAAGCCAGGTTAGCTTCTTGTACTCAGCCTGTACTGCTCTGCAATTCATTGTAAATGCTGTACTTGCCTGCTTCAGATCAACCGGTGTCTTGATTATCGGTACATTCTCCTCTAGAAACTTTCCAAACGCCTTCTCGTCAATAGGCTGCCGCACCGCGCCCGCCATCTCGCAGGTAGTCAGTCGTGCTATCGCGTGCGCTCTCCCTTGTCCAGGATAATCCAAGCTCTCGCGGGAGAACCAGCAGAGACAAAAGCCAATAATTGTCTTTCAAGAAGCCTCAATTGATGCAGATGGACTGAATCCCAAGCTTTGCAGTGGACAAGGACGCAGCCTTTTCATGCTGCACCCCGGAATGCAGTAACGAGGTAAGACGGATACGGCAACCGTCTGACGTGCCGAGGCTCGGCGCTTTAGCTACCCCCCCGACCCCAGATTTTTTCAGCCACCCCGAAAGGAACCTCCCCTCCCCCCTCAATTCAAGTTCCATTCCCCTTTACTCCGTACCCAGATCGAAAACAAAAGCCAGGGGATGGGTTTTCAGTCTCTCATTGGACAGTGTGTAAGTCGCGTCTGGTTGCTAGCTGGGGGGGAACATCAGTCTTCGCCCAATCAGGTGTTGCTTAACCTTGCAATACTGAGAACATCAAGGTGTTGAACATTGAGCAACGCAACTTAATCTACCACCCATTTTATACATTGTTAATTACTCTCACAAGTCCATGACCCATGCTGCACAATAGCACAAAAGCACAACTCACGACAGCACCTATATATTAATCATCATAGTAAAAATACATTTCTATCACATCACCAAGCACTCGCCATCCCTCTTCAATGCTGCAATTCGCCAAACAGTGGTTACATATGAGTTACATTGGTTATATATCAAATGATATCTTCAATTGCAAAAAGCTAGGAGAGCCCAAAGTTATATCCGGTGACGGACCACACCCTCACCTCTATATCCGCAAGCTACAAGTTTCTTTCATCCGTCTTTCATCAAGTGTCCAGACACTTCAGCCTTTCTGTTGTTAAGCCAAATACCTATCTATCTGTGTTCCACACATAGCCTAAAATCCTGTTTCTGAATTTTTTTTTCTTTTATTTTTTTGGTGTAATTGCTTCTTTTGTTTCCCAAATTTCATTCTTCCTTTTTTTTTAGAGTTTTTTTTTCCCAAATGCTTTGTCAGTGATTTTATACCAGATGTCTGCTAAAGAAGAAAAGCAGGAAGAAAGGGAAAGAGAAAGAAAGAAAAGGAGAAAAGGGGGAGAGAGGATGGCGAAAAATGAAGAAGAAAAGAAGGAGAAAAAGAAGGAGAAAAAGATGAAGGTAAAAAAAAAAAATGCCTCAGTGTCTCAATGCCTCAATGCCTTAATGCACCTCAGTGGTAGCCAGACCAAATTCCTCCGATGCCAAAGCCCTTTCGAATCTTTCGTGGTGAGTAGAGAAAGTTATAACATATGAAAAAAAGTGTTGTGGCAAGAAGAAAAACAAAAAAAGGGGTATCCATCGTGTCGAGTCGTCCATGCATTCTGCCCGCCCAACCAGTTTCCCCCCTGTCAGTTGCCTGGCATCTCGTTTAACCCATATTGAGAGCCCAGCTCGTTGCCAGACCATACACATTTCTTGCTTAAACACCGTTGGATTACCAGTTCCCAAACAATGTTGTAAGAAAGCTTGCATAGGTCAGAGACATGCCGTGCTGAATTTCTCATATCAGAGATTATATGAGATTGTCCACCATTTGCCGGCCGTAATATAATAATAATGAAAACTCCCAGTCCCGTCCGATGTCTCAACTTGGAATGATAGCAAGACGCATCGCCTTCAAAGTCACAGTCTTCATGACTTCATTATAAAAAAAGAAAATTTAGAAGAGAATGCCCAATCTGCATTGTTGGAAAAACAGAATCATGAGTGAATCGGATACTCATAAAACAAGTGAATGAGGAAGCAGTAAAATCAAACCAGTTATTAACTGTCGTTTTCTTGATTCCCTTCAGCACTATCGGTTGCTGTCTTGGGCTTCTTGCTTGCAATCGAGGGTCCAGATTCGGATTTGCGCTTTGCGCTGGCAACCTCCAAGGGCTTCGCGGGTGAGGCGTCATCGCTGCCGTCGCCGTCGCCCTTTGACGACTCCTTGGCATCCATGGCCGCCACCTCCTCCGCTGTCAAGAATCGGCCGCCAGGTCCACGAGGTCGGCGCATTGCATGGTTGTGCCTGGATTCGTGAAGATATGGCTTGCGTCCCTTGGAGGTTAACCTCAGTTGCTCTTCAAGGCGCTGGCGGGCAACACGTCGCTTAAGGATTCGGTGAAACTGCTTGGCATTGACATATAGGGGCGATTCTTCGACAGCACCGGCAGGCATCTCTGGTGACTGTGGATGCTGCATGGCAGGGGCAGGAGGCATAGGCGGGGGGCGGGGTCCGCCGTGGTTCATCAAGCCCTGGGCGCTCGGCACTCCAGGGCTGGTAACTTGACTCATACGGCGCCCGGGGATCTGCGAAATGCTCATCCGAGGAGATGGCCGGCCATCCTTCTTAGCATTGGGCAACCGTGGGGATGTGTGAGGCATGCTCGGATCCGAGTGCATGTAGGTGTAGTTGGAGCCGGTTGCCGCAGCCGTGGCAGCCATTGCCGCCGCTTGAATCCCCCCGGGCATGCCATAGGGAACCGACTGCATGCTCGGTTGAGGCACGCCGTACTGTGGTCCGTACATGGCGTGAGCTGGAGCCTGGCCCGGCTGGTGTTGCTGGTGCTGCTGGTGTTGCTGCGATGTGATGATGGGAGAGGACTGCACGGCGTGTTGGTTGATGCCGTGGCTTGTGGGCGAGGTGATGCTTGCACCTGCGGCAGAATTCGCGTAACCGGCGTGAGAACTGTGTTGCTGCTGTGGATATTGCGCGTATTCCATCATCCTACAGATAGGACAAGGACCAAAATTGGTGTCGCGAAGATGTCGCGAGCCAAAATGTGGGGTGGCGCTATCGCGATTCGCCCTATCACAAGTTCAAGACTTGAAGCTAGGAGGACTGGGACGAATAATATCGACAGCGCAACGCTAGGCAAGCTGCTTACAGTCAGTATCGAGAGAGAGCAAAGACGCCAGTGACGAATAACCGAAGCTCGATGAATAAAAAAAGAATATTATCGCTAGTACAATATTTCTTTTCTTTATTTCTTGCTTAATTTTCTTTGTCTTTTTTTGGTTTTGAAGAGGATCAAGTTGCGCAATTGCTTTGGGTATTGGGGTTGGGCACGTGTGGTTGGGAACTGGCGATTCGATGCTTGGGTAATCGCAAAGAGAAGCGCGCAATGTTCAGGCACCCAAGTCTACCAGACACATGCGTTGGTGAGCTGGCAAGGTGGTGGGATGGTGCCAAGGTACGTGGCTAATGAAGCCGCAAGGCGCCTGCAGGCAGAGTTGTGCTCGTGGGGAGCAGAGTGGAGGGTGGCTGAGTTGCCGGGCGCGAGAGAAACCACGTGAAGAGGCACGGCGCAAGAGAGAGATGGAGAGAGAGCTGTCTTGTCCTTGATCCTGTACCGGGTCGTTGCGACAAGGTACGGGATGACGATGGATGGAGAGGCACGGACGAAACAGAGCAGTCGCTTTTTCCACTTCCCCAGAGCAGCTCAATCGAGGATTAACAAAGATCTATCCAACCACAGGCGTTAGCTCGTTTGTATATAGGCGAGACGCTGCGAATAGTGAGACAGAGGTATCCAGGCAGGGATGGGGACAGGGGTGTGAGCAAGCAGCGCCAGGGAGCCACACTTGTGATGCGCTGGCATAGTTGTAGCTCATGCATGACGGAATATGCAGCCAGGTCCACCAGGCCAGCAAGCCCACCAGGAAAGCCCCCAACCGCTGCCAACACGTCGGCACACCAGTGAACAAAGGCAAATGAGAGCCCAAGCTGGGCGTGTGAAGGGGGAGGGCGACGAAAGCGCGCCGATCCAGATAAGCGCCATGAGATTTGCTTTAAGAGATGCGATGCAGCGCGTACGCTTAAAGACGTCAAGAGCAGGATGACGCCTGTTTTGCCCTGTCCAAGGCTCCGCGGCGCTGCCTCTGGCCCCAGTGAGTTGATTGTCTCATCCGGACGGCAAAGCGGAGAGTTGGGCATAGAGACTAAGACACGCCATGAGGTGGGGGATGAAATCAGGCTGGTGGTGGGTGCTGGCCGTGTCCGGTCCAGACAAGACGACCGCTCTGGCCGAGGATGGCAGTCATGTGTGGGAGGGACGGATGGGAGAGGCGAATGAGGCAGTCGGGCAGGTCAAATCGAGCCTTGGGCCAGCCTGCGGAGCTTTGTTCAAGATTTCAAGATGTGACGACAGGACAGGACAGGGCAGATTCTGCAAAGTGGGTGCATGAAGAGAAGAAGAACTCGCCCGGACGTACTCAGCCCAGTAAACGGGGAACGTTATAGTGGCAGTTGCTGGGGTAGAAAATGCAGAGAGGCTATGAGGGCGAGGGCTGTGAGACCAGTAGGCGAACTGGGCTGGGCTGAGCGAGTGGGAAGAGTCGGTGTATATGCGTGAGCTGCAGGGCATCCAGGCATATGCCGTCGTCTCAAAACAAATGATGTTGAAGGAAAGGGCAGGTATTCGTCAAAGCAAACGCAATAAAGACAAGGGGGCTTAACGCAGCAAAGAAGGGAAAACAAGGCAAAAATTAAGCAGAAAACCAAAGCAAAAAAAAAAAAAAGAGTCGATCCCAGCAGGGCGATTCCGTGCGGCCCAAAAGAGAAAGGATGTGGCCAAGTAAATAAATAGAAGAGCCGGGGGAGGTCGCTGCAGCTACAAGCAGAGATGACGAGGGGTGGTGATGACGGCATCAAAATGCAGAATAAAGAAGAAACGAGGCCGAAATTAGAACAAGATAAAAATACTACGTACCGATTCGACGCAGCCACAGACAGAATGCGCCGTCGACCAGGAATGGCGTGTCCTGGATGTGATTTGCGGTGGCGGCTACGGGCTTGTTGGCAGGTATTCCCAGAAGCTGGAAATTGACAGCAACCATGCGACAGAGCAACGCAGCGCTCTGATTGAATGCTCGGACAATTGGGAGATGCGCGCTGCAGATGCGCGCTGTCACCTGATGACGTGTTGCGCCAATGGCGAGGGCGAAGCTGAGGCTGGCGACGATGATAGGCCTCTGGCGTTGCGAGCTTGCAATGGATGATGAAGGGCCACGCGGGTTGCAGGAAGCTGATTTGCTGGCGGGCGGACAGGCTGATTTTTTAGGTGAGCGGCGGGTTGCCTGTGCGAGCCTTGCTTGTCGCAAAAGGCGCTGCTATCGATGCTGACGTCGCAGACCGAATCGCGAGGTGGGGAAAAGCTTTGCGCTGCTTCTGTTTTTTTTTTCCCGTTTCTGTGCTGCTGTTTTTGGAGCTGCAGACTCTGTTTGCCGAAGCTGAGGGGCTCCGAGGATCCGGTTGCAAGCGGAAATGCAGAATGCAATGCAAAACCAAAAACAAGAACAAAGACCAAAAACAACAACGATGACTTCGCTAGCAACAATGCTAATGTACAATGCAGTTGCGATGTCTGGGCAGCTAAAACAATGGCAAAGCTTGTGAAGCTTTTTTTTTTTTCTCCTTGGACGTTGCAGCAAGCGCGCAAAGGTGTGTCTTCTGGGCCGCCCACAACACGAGGGGGGGTCCTAGAGAGGAGCCGGCGATCGCGTGCGTTCACACACAGCACGGCTTCGGAAGAGCCGCAGAAAAAAAAAAGCTGCGACTAGAGCCGGCCGGGTTGCTCAAGGTTTGACGCTGCGGCCTAGACGCTCAATGGACGGGCGTTGCGCGCGGCTTGCAAGCGGATCGGAACGAGATAGTCGAGACGCTGTGAATGGCCACGGCTGGCTGTTTCGCTGCTCCCTTGACGGACGAATCTGATTGCACGCGTGAGGTGCGGGAAGGGCCCTTTTTTTCGCCGTCTTGGACCTCGCAATTGCTGCTGGTTCGTCGGACAGGGCAGGGCGGGATTGATTGGTCGTGGAGTGGGAGGAGGCAAGGCTCGCGAAGAGGACGAGGGAAATGCGAAGATGTGATTTGAGGGAGCGGGGGGCCGGGAGTCTTTTAACACCTGTGACTGGCTGAATCAGCCCTGGGGTGGGGCCCTGCTGGTGGCTGGCTTCGCCCACATGCGCTGCCATTGGCTGCCAGGCCCTGCCCCGGCGCACGGGCCATGAGGCGCTCGTTTTTCTCTCTGTATTTTTTACCTTGTGCCAGTTCCTCGTGCTTGGCTGATGCTTGCCTAGCGCACGTCGTTCTTTGTTTACGGCCTGGTCCCTTGTCTGCTGCGGCACGGAGCCCTTCGTACTGGGAACTGTAGCCCGACGGCTATGGAGCGTGGGCGGGAGTTCCCAGGACGTGTACGGAGTACTTGTACATACTTTGCCACGGCAATGCAGGACCTCGAGTACACGAGGCACGCGTGGTGTCCTCAACAAAAAAGCTACTATTAGGTAGCCGAGCTGATGGCGGTGATGGCGCTTGTTAGAGCAAACCTACCTTGGGCTCCTTGACAGCCAGGCGAGGTGCAAACCTTGTACCCCATACCTTGTGCCGTCGACGCCGCTTTCACATGTTTCTGCTGTAGCAACGTCGCAGAAGCAGTGCTGTAAGTAGTCCATGTCCGAGCAAAGACGATGCACTCAGACGCAGGTGAGCATTTCCTGTTTCCAAGATTGCCTGTCCAGTGCAGTTACAGTGCAGGAGCATTATCAAGTAACAAGTACTGTACGAGATGCGTACAACTAACCACCTACAGCAGGCCAGGTACCGAGCTAGAGTGCGCGTGTGTGTGATGGAGGCCCAGCGATTTAGTGCATCCTACCATGCGCTCCGAACGTCTCCGTCCTCCCGCGCTTGGTACCCAATAGAGTGTGTACATGATGATGACCGTCGCTTACTGTTTAGGGAGATGCAAAGGCTAAAGCTTGCTGCTGAGGCTTTGCCCGTCTCTACCCCTGGCCATCTCGAGTTGTCGTATCCGTACCAACTAACTATACAGAGCTATAACTGATATCAACCTTATTCCCCTGACTATCTTGCCCAAGATGTAGAGAAATAACATACCAACTTTCAAGTCATACGTATCTCCTCGTCCAGTAGCAGCGGCGACGGCATGTATCTCGTCAAGGCGGGCTCCAATCTCTCCGCCTCCGACAACATCGTCACGCTCGCCCTCGCGCCGTGTGAGTGAGCTGTCAACCCCCGAGCCCACCAGCCCTGTCCTGAGAAAAAAGGGCATGATTCAGACCCCCATGTCCCTATCGCCGCTCACCACTGCACTGCTAGCACGATAGGATGCCTCGGACATTAGTGCGATGCCATGGGGGAAATGCATCTTGTGATGGTGGTGGTAGCACTGCGTGGAGATGGCGATTGAAACCGGCGAGGCGAGTTCCAGGGAACAAGTGTACATGGAGCAGCCAACATGAAAGCACATGAACCCTGTACTCGGACCCCACCTGCAGCCAGCCGTTTTGATGCACTGAGCCACGGCTGTGCTGTATCAAATACCAAGAGTAATACGGATATGGCCACTGAGAGGTAAAGAAGCGGTGACAACAGGGGACAGCAAACGGGCGCAAAACGCATCTCGCATGTGCGGCTGAAGAAGAAGAAGAAGACGAGGTGCAGTCGACATGATGCGCTACAAGTCCAAGTAAGCCAAGTAGCACACTAGCAGCGAGGTTGCTGCGTCAGAAACGGCTTTAGAACCCAATGCCCATGCACGTCGGCTTCTTTATCTGTAGACTGCTTCAAGGCTTGCCATTCGGTATACCGTTTTGTCCAAGTAGGGACAATCGGCCTATCATGTTGCTGGAATACGATACAGCCTTATGAGGTGGCTGAGGCGCTGAATGTACGAAAACAACTTGACAAAAGCAGCATGTTGCAGGACACGCCACACAATCCCTCGTCAAGAAAAAGAGAAGAAAAAAAAAACAAGATTGCTGTCAAAAGTCGGTGTGCCCTAGTTTCGAAGCACATGCGCGGAAATACTGTACATACACATGCAAAGCAAGGAGTGATGTATGTAATGGATTGCCAGATACGTGTAGTCTACACGACGCCCAAAAGCAGCCACGGCGCGATTTCGAGGGCATTCCCAGGGGTTGCATCTGCAGCCTCGTCTTACAGGAAATAAAGTGCTGCTGCTTGGGGACGATGTGCTGTAGCATTTCCGGGGCCATTCCTTCTTCTGCAAAGCCCATGCCTAATAATATATACGACTTGTCCCGTTGAGCAAATCTCAGCAGGTGGTAATTGGAAAGGGAAAATCGTGGCGCTCGCCGCGATGTGACGACAGCCCACAGGGCCCGTACCAACCAATCTCGGAGTCACACAGGGTTCTAAAACAGCCAGCCCAGCCCACAGTGCAGGCTCTACTTGTATGTCTTTTGTCGCAGGCGTTGATGGCCTCGAGGGAACTTGCAAGACCTCCAAGACCCCCGTTTTTTCGTTTCTTTTTTTTTCTAATTCGATCATTTGCCCTACGGAGTAATAATGCTGCTCCAGACTATTCTTTTAGCTTGTCTGGTGAGCTACTAGACACCAGCCGCGTATGCAGTACGAAGCACTAATGCTGCCTGGGTGGGACTTGTTTTTCGCCTCTGTTGGTTCTTGTTTTTTTTTTTTTCTTTGTCTGCTGGAAGAGCCTCGCATACCTCCTACAGAATGTACTGTAGAAAGTTCGATGGTCCTGTATCCAGACTCTCTCTTCCGCTTTCATCCCTACCTTTCTCGTCCAATCAGGTTGGAGTGCTGGACCATGTAACAAAGCGGCAAATCACACAAGCCGCCGCCTGCTTGGGCACAGCTGAGTGGCTAAAATTCAAGGGCGGCATTTTTGGTCCGCTGCTGTGAGTGGACAGCGGGGGCTGCAGGATTTCGGGCTACGTTCCTGTTTTAAGCCGTCGGTGCCGGTGAGCCACGAGGTTTCGATTTCGAGCAGGGCCTTAGGCTCGCATGTTTGCCTCGTCGAGGCCCGACGGCCTACCGATTGGTTTCGCCACGCTGTGACGGCGCTGGATAGTATTGCAGGGGCTGTCTTGGTGTGATTCCAGGTTGGAGCTTGTAGCAGGGCTGCAGCAGATGTGATGTTGCTTGATGCTTGATCCTTGATCCTAGTCAAGAGAGGGAGAGAATCTCAACGTCTTCAGCTTGCCAGCCAGGGTGGGGACCGGCCTCCTCATCAAAACCTCCAGCCGACGTTGCTGAGAGCCTCAGGCCAGAGCCAAAGTGCCATCACTCGCTGCATGCACCGATCCAGCTGACCAACAGGTCTGGGCAGCAGCACAGCAGCATCATTTCGCATAGACGAGCCTCTCGAGCCCCGAAGGGCTGGACCTGGTGCGTTGCATCACCCTGACATGGGTCGTGCAGCAACGTCGACGACATACTTGCCTCTTCATCTCTGCATTGCAATTTGTGGCGTTACCAGCAACAGCTCAACGGCCCACGCAGAACATGCGGCTGCTTCGTAGCGAATGAATGTACGTACTAGTCTGGCAATATCGATATGGAGCCGACCCGCTGGTGGTGGCTTCGTCCTTCGTATACAATTCTTATCCGTATTATTCCCTGCGTGATCCCGCTCCATTTTTGGTGTGTTGTAGGGTAGCTGCTGGCATCAACGAGCTCGTCTGGAAACAAGAGGGAAAAAGCAATAGGTACATGTACTGTGACGCTGTCGAATTGAAAGTGGTAGAAATTGTTAATATATAGAGACTGTAGTAATATAAGATAGTAAAAAGGATACCAGCAATCACATTTCATCTTCTCTTTAGGCACTCGTACGACAGCCTTTCTAATAGCAAGGCCCATGCACAACATCCAACAATCTTCTCTCTCATGCGGCTCTACGGTAGCACTGCTCATACGCAATCTTCGTCTCGACCCCCCCCCTACATTGACAGCCCAGTATTCTCCTCTCTTTGATTGGCACTTATCGGCCATATGCCACGTTCACCCCCTGTCGAGTCCATGGTCGTAGCAGTATGGAGCACGTAGTATGAAGATGATTGTGCAAAGTAGATCATCCCACTTTCCACTTTCCAAGGTCTCCCAACTGTTACTATGCTTGACTTTTATTGTTCGTATATTAGCAGCAGAGATTGACCATAAAGGTAAAAGAATATAGAAGAACAAGAATGAAAATAACGCCGAGAGTTCCAGCTACCGAGCCTCTCCAAACTGCTTTCCCCAGTATCCTTGCTCACGGCTCCCAAGACTCACACAAGATCGAACGAGCGTCAATTCTAGGTGCAAAAGGAATATCCTGGCCATCTGCTGCGAGAGTAAAGAGCTCTGAGTGTAGCGCGCAATCGTTGGAGCTTCAAGATGACTGAGTATCAGCTTGCAAGAAATGGAATACCGTTATGAAGTATATAAGCCTAAGAGAGAGGCCCTTCACCTGAACAATGTGCAGACGAAATACGGGAATGGTTCAAAATGTATAATCTTGGCTGACTGCACGTTTCCACATCTATTCTCCTATTAGCTCTATACATGTGCTCATGAGGACGTAGAAAGCATACACTGCTTCACTGAGTGTACTGCATGTGTACGAGTCGCCATCAAACTCATAAACATGTCCCTGGTATTCTGGCAAGCTATACAGCCACACCTATTTGCTTTTTGTTAGTTGCGGCTGGTCTTCATAAGCTACTTACGAAAGGAACGTACATTTATGGAGGCTGTTGAGGAAGAAGCCAAAGCAGCGAAGCAAAAGAGTAGTTTAGATAAGTGCATGATTACATGGGCAGCGCAAGCTTGAGAAAGAATATTATTTAGATATAGGTTGGTCCTAGCTGCTAGATCTGTTATTGCTGGTTCGAAGGAGAAAGCATTATAACGAGAAATGCCATGTATATATAGACGAGAGTATAGTACATATGCTCGTCCACATGATGCAATGCATGAGTTCTACATGTCTCACATCCCACTGGGGCCCCCTAGAGCAATCCGATAGCTTCTAATAAACCATTATACTCATTATGTAATAGCATATCAGTCCTTCTATTCCCGCTCGAGGTGATGGTGTGTGTCGATTTACTGCAGCTAGATTTGCAAGTATATGCTGTTAGATGCTAAGAATATATACCTAGATAGATAAAGAATTAGACATAGGCGGTGCAATTATATTATAATCCTGTTGCGCTATTAATGTAAATGATAACTGGACTCATAATATTAGCCTGTGTAATAATGTTTTAAATGAACTAGGTATAATTTAGTAGAGAAAAAACACCAGATATATGCCTAGAGAGTATTATTAGAATGGATTACTCTAAGACAACTACTTAAGGGTAATAGCCAAGAAGCATATCCATTAATAAAGAAGTATATCTTATTAATAGAAAGTAAATTATATAGATATAGGAGCATGTATTTTTACTAAATACAGGGATTTTATTAATAAATAAATAAATGAACGAACGAACGAACGAACGAACGAATGGATGGATGGATGGATGGACGGCCGGACGGCCGGACAGACGGACAGACGGACAGATAGACATATCTTTAAGCTTTATTAAAGCCTAGCTGATAGATTAAACCTGCCTGTAATAAAGCGGCAGGAACGTAGTCTACGCTGAATGGAGTTTATTAGGGGACGCCTGCCCTGATATCCCTGATATCCCTGAGAGGCAAAATGTCATAAGTCCTCTATAGGATTATATAACTATTACACCCCTATAGTTTAAATAAAAAGAATCATGCCTTTTTGATCCCATTGTCGTCCACCCTAGGTCTGGTACTGTAGACTACGCTCCGAGACCTTGACTCCCCTTTGATCCGATATAGAGTTGATACCTCACGAGATACCAACGGGATAGATACGCAACAACATCCAAGAGAGCTCACTCATATCAATTGAACAGCGCATCAATCGGAAGATGTAAATACATGGATTAAAAGACATTAAAGATACCACGACACGTATGTTTACGGCGGCAGATTTAAGAATAAGATACTTGTAGTAACAACTTAGAGTAAGTGATCTGTTCTAGGCTCTACACCTGCGCTGTACCCAGAACTCAGAACACTACCCACACACCTAAGTAGGTAGTACTAGACAAAGAAAGGATCTAAATATAGCATGTATACTCCTATGGATGGCCATGTAAGGGTTCCGCAAGCCGCATTTGCCAGACGACATTGAGAGTTCCATCGCGATTCTGGTCACAAGGCGAAACGAGGCTTGGCAGTGAGACATGAAACCAAAAAAAAAGAAGTTTC